GACGAATAATATTGATTGCTGTAATGTATTTTATTCATATATTGTTAAATTGAATATTGCTAAATTTTGTTAATGCTGTTGCTTATATACGTTAAATGTTTTCTAACAAAAGGGGAGGGGGCGGGGGTCTTTATACTTGAAGTCTTGAAGAGATGGAATCGAATATTCCTTTCATAAAAACTTAGAAGTTGCCCTACGCCTAAATTGAAGATGGGAGCTATGGAGTGTGATTTAAATGCATGAGAAAACAATCATTTGAATTTTAAAGGATAAGGCTAAATATGTATTTTTCGAGAATAAAATGAAGCGGTGAAGAGCAAAACGCTATTAAACTTGGCTTTTTTTTGGCTGATTGATAGGGCTGGGTCCGAAAAACCGAAAACCGAAAACTGAATCAAATTAAATCGAACCGTAGTCAAATTAAACCGAACCGCTAACAAACCGAAACCGAATGTAAAAAACCGAACCGAACCGAAGTTGTTTGATTCGGTTTTGGTTTTTACCCTTCATAACCGAACCGAACCGAACAAATCGAACTATTTAAAATATAAAATTTATATGTTAATTGTTAAGCATTAATTCTAATTAATCTTAATACCATCAATAGTCTTTGGTTTTTTTGTGTTAGAAAAATATTGTTTGTGTTATGTTTAATTGAATTTAGTTTATAAATTCATTTACACATTCATTGCTTGTAATGATGTAGCTATATTGAATGATGATAATATGTGTTTACTAGTTATTAGTATTAATTAACTTTTATTTTTAGATAACTTAAAGATTTTATATTGATAAAACAATTGTAGTATATACAATTGTATCTATCCCGCATACTCATATAATTCAAGACATATTTATCTAGCCCTTCTCAATTTTGTTTTATTTGTTGTTGTATTGTGCTTGCATTCTTTATGTAATATGTTTGATCCTCTAAGTATTATATCACTTTTAAATCAAGTGATTATTTTTTTGGTAAAAAACCGAAAAAAACCGAACCCGAACCGAAACAAACCAAACCAATCAAACCATGGTTCCAACTTTTGGAGTGTAAAACCGAAACCGAATCGAACTTTGTACTTCGATTCTACATTAGGTTTTAGGTCAAAACTGAACCGCAAGAACCGAACCCACCCCTACTGATTGACATAAAAAGCCAATACAAAAAGCTTAATAACCAAACACCTAAATAGCTGTTTGAAATTGTCAAAAAGCCAACTATTGGTCTAAACAGCCAAAAAAATGGCTGATAGTCTGATAGACCAATAATCAAACACCCCCTAAGTGTTTTCAAGTGACATCTTCTACTTAAATTAAGCACTTCAAAGCGAAAAATAAAGGTGGAATCAGGTAGAGATGTCCTTTAAACAGCTTTTCAATTTATCCATTACACAAAAATGCTTATTTCAACAAACACTATCAACTTTTATATTTTCAAAAGTATTTTGTCTAAACACTATAAACTTTTACTATTAAGCACTTTCTCGAAAATCATATTAAAAAATCAAATTTTTACGCAGAATCAATCACAAACACTATCTAAATTCATTTGTACGCATGAAAAATATAGAAGGAAACGAAGTCACAAGTGAGCTACTAAAAACTTGAATAAGCTAGAGAAATAATGAAAAGAACACAATTATTATTATCATGTTTTTTAGAGGAGAAGACTTATTTATTATTAATAATGAGAGTAACAAGAGAAAAAGCAAAATAATAGCTCAAAACTACACTGGGATGAGGTATAGAATTGACTAGCCTGTGAGGACCCGTCAAATTTGTTATCCCCGCGTCATGGTAGACTATTCTAACAACATCGCTGCACTTGTTACTAAAATGAGAGATAACTAAACAAAATTTTTTAAAATAATACAAAATAACTCAAATGTTCTGGTTATACCAGCCATCGGGAAGGGAGAATAGGTTTTAGGGGTGGGTTCGGTTCTTGCGGTTCGGTTTTGACCTAAAACCAAATATAGAATCGAAGTAAAAAGTTCAGTTCGGTTTCGGTTCGGTTTTACACTCCAAAACTTGGAACCACGGTTTGATTGGTTCGGTTTGTTTCGGTTCGGTTTCGGTTTTTGCGGTTTTTTACCAAAAAAATCTCACTTGATTTAAAATTGATATATATAATACTTAGAGGGATCAAACATTCAAACATATTACATAAAGAATGCAAGCACAATACAATAAAAAATAAAATAAAAATGAGAAGAGATAAATATGTCTTGAATTATATGAGAATGTGAGATAGATAAAACTGTATATATTATTGATTTAATTTGTTTGTGAGTAGTTCGAAAAAAGTTCATGAATATATACGTTATATGTGATATAGTTGAGATGAATATTTATTGTTTTATCAATACAAAATCTTTAAGTTATCTAAAAATAAAAGTTAATTACTACTAATAACTAGTAAACACATATTATCATCATTCAATATAGCTACATTATTACAGACAATGAATGTGTAAATGAATTTATAAACTAAACTAAATTAAACATAATACAAACATCATTTCTCTAACACAAGAAAACCAAAGACTATTGATGATTTAAGATTAATTAGAATTAATATTTAACAATTAACATATAAATTTTATATTTTAAATAGTTCGGTTTGTTCGGTTCGGTTCGGTTTTGAAGGGTAAAAACCAAAACCGAACCAAACAACTTCGGTTCGGTTCGGTTTTTTACATTCGGTTTCGGTTTCTTAGCGGTTCGGTTTTATTTGGCTGCGGTTCGGTTTAATTTGATTCGGTTTTCGGTTTTCGGTTTTTCGGACCCAGCCCTAATAGGTTTGTCCATCCACCTCCAAAAAAACATCCCGATTTTACCAGCCATCAGGAAGAGAGAAGAGGTTTGACTAGCCACCTCCAAAGGAATCATCTTGTTTACGAGACTTGTCAGTATTTTAGGCAGTGTTGTTCTGGGAGCACAATAACCTTGTCGTTTTTATCCCTCTCCATTAGCCTCCTTCTTTGGCATCCTTTCATAAGTCTGATTTAAACTCTCCATTAATGGCCAACACAATGAACGTCGGATCCGAGACAAAGAAAAAGAAACAACAAAATTCACGAACAAAAGCACAGACACGTTCTCAAATGGAACGGACCAAACCCTCGGTCAGAGAAAACTTAGTCGGTCAAAATCTCGGCAACAAATAAACGCCAGACAACCAAGGAAAACGAAACTAATTCAAACAAAGCTGATTACCTGAAATTTGCCTGAAAACACTCTGTTGAAGCCACGAGCAATCTCCCGTCAGCACACTAGACATCGCTGCTCTCGCTAGGGTTTTTATATGCAAATGTTATGCACTCAAATAAACTTTAATTGTTATTATCACATAATTACTATACAATTACCATATAATGATTTACACGTTAAAGTTTTACACGTGAAATGATTGCATGCAAAATGTAGAAAAGCAATCACTTTACATGTAAAATAGATTATATTGTTTTGTTAGATGAGTAATTTATTTTAATTTGCACGCAAAGACATTGATGTGCTTTATAAAAAGCATGCAAAGTATTTTACACTCTCCCCACATAAAATGTTTTACATGGTACAATGCAAAATGTTTTTAAAAAGTGTCATACAGTTTACATTAAGTAATAAGAAAACTATCAATTTGGTCCACATACTTTCATGAAAAAGTCAATTAGGTCCTTGTATTTTTTAAAAAAAATCAATCAAATCCCTGAACTTTGTAAAACATTCAATTGAGTACATTTGCAGGTAATTTGTCATGTCAGCAGGTCACCTGCTGACGTGGTGCATACATAGCGGTCCACGTGTGCGCCACGTCATCAGCAAATGACCAGTCGGTATACCGTGCAACCGGAGCATGGTGAGCACCATGCTCCCCAGCCCAAAACGACGTAGTTTTGATCAAATTTAAAAAAAAACGTGTGAACAGTACTCGCGTGTATAGTGTTTTTTTCCATCCCAGTTGCATGGATGATGTAACTTGTGTATAATTAGATGTAACTCATGTTTCTACAAATGTAACTTCAGTTAGCAACATATGTAACTTGTGCCCTGAAATGTAACTCATGTTTAATGAAAAAAAGGAGTTTAATTATCCAATTATTTTACATAAATAGTGCATATGTTTTTTTAATATTAGGTCCATTAGAAATGATTTTTTATAATAAAATCACTTTTGATTGAAAAACAGAGGTTTATTTTGTTGTGTAACTTGCATAGTTTTGTGATGTAACTCGCGTACATTAAGATGTAACTCGCGTACATTAAAATGTAAATCACATGTAAACACGATTGAGGAAAATTGAAATGTAAATCGTGGGTTACAAAATGTAACTTTAGCCAAACCGAAATGTAATTCCACGGTATGTGAAATGTAACTCTATATTAAGACAAACATATCCTTGTATAGCTGCAAGATCCATCTTAACGAGGTCGCCAATTCGCCATTTTCTTTGTTCTTAAGCAGTGGCAGATCTAGCTGGAGAGATCGCCGGAGAAGAACCCAATTGGGCGCCGGACTATTTTTCTGCGGGAGTTCCTATGAACTGGGCCTCACTGCACCACTGGAGGATCGCTCAGCCGAGAGCAGTTTGAGCCGCCGCCTCTGGAAGGATCTGAACGTCGTTAGACACCGGAAGAGATCGCCGAGGATTGATGATCATCTGCGTACACGTATGTATGCTTCGTAATACTCCGTATTTTAATATACTCTGGGCTGCTGCTAGGTTGTAGATTAAAGATGGACAGATGAAAGAAATCATAGATGGTTTGCGCTGCTTGTTTCATAAAACGGTACCGTATTTGACCGGGCATACCATGCGCATGGTATGCCGGTCGTACGGTATAATTTGCCCAAATGACTGACTGGACTTCCACATGTGTGCCACGTCAGCCAAATTATTGCTGATTGGGCTGCCACATGTGTGTCACGTCTACGGGTGACCTATTGACGTGACAAGTAACCTCTAAACGGACTCCAACATTTTTTGTAAATTTTGGAGATTTGAAAAACCATTAAACCAAACAACATGAACATTTCACAGCCCAATAAACTCTGAAGGACCTGACACCTCAACCATGGCTGCAATTCTTCGTGCTACGCTGAGTTCAATTGCAGCTTCTCACTCCACGATTAACGCATCACTTTCTCAGAGTCAGCGCTTCACCCTTAACGCCGGTGGATTCTGTAGAGGTCTGGCCTCTAAATCTTCGCAGCAAACCGCTACCAAATCTCCATTCAACTCAAACTTACTTAGAATCCTCCATAATGAAATCGATTACCTCTGCGCCTATGCCCCTCCCCAACGGGTAATGCTCTACATTTTTCTTGTTCAAGATTTCATTTTCCCATTTTTGTTTATGGAGTATTTATTTCTAGTGTTCGATTTTTTTAATGAGATTGTACTATGCTTTTTTACTGTCATTATGCTATTCTTATCAGCATAATTGTTACAAATTTATTAACACATTTTTTGTGACGTGGGAGAGAACCCTTAATTCTGCCAATTAGGGCATGATAATCAGAAGCCGATAGGTTCCATAAGACCATAATGTAGGGTTACAAAGTCATAGCAAAATGTTCTAATAATATGCGAGATAATAGCCTCAATACTAGGCACACTACGATCTACCTAAGGACTGAAAAGGAAAGTGCTGCAACCTTTAAATGTGAGGGAGTATGTGAGTTTGTATCTTTATACATATGACCAATGAGGTGCCTTGACATTATTTGCTTCTTTTAGGGTGTGTTTGCATCTCGGAAAATTGAGGAAACTATATATATTGTATTAGGAATCTTCGGAAATTAAACGATTAAAAGTTATTTTTTAAATATATACTTATTTTTGTCTTTATATAATAAAACTAAATAAATAAAAACGAGTTTGTACAAATACCTAATAAATTTATTGGGCTTGAGAGTATCTTTTATCTGTCTCAATTTTCCTTCACTATTTTCCCCTAGCAATTTCCATGTTCCAAATGATCCCTTAGTCTGTATGTAGGAACCATATAGGAAGCTTATTTAAAACAGTAATACAAAGAAATGATGAAGTAGCTGAAAGAAAAGATCAATCCTTGTTGTTTGTGAAGTTTACTCTGGCTTATTTTTCCAGATTGCTGCAACTTTCAATGAATTTACAGTTGAAGACCACCCAGCTGAGCAGTGGGTTACCTTAAAGAGGAAGTTTCAAGATGATGAAGACATCAAAATTGAAGCAACAATGTTTGATGGTTCGATTCCTGTTGCCCCCAAATCTGGAGATGAAAGTAATGAAGATGTGCGACTTCACATTAGCTTGCTAGTGGACATATGGAAGAAGGGTGGGCGTGATTCATTGGAGTTTGTGTGCTCAGCCTGGCCAGATTCTTTGGAAGTTCAGAATGTCTATATTTTCAAGCGAGAAGGATTGCAACCATCACAGCCATATATGGGACCCAACATTAAGTATGTTACTTCTTATGCCCTGAAAATATTTTCCTATCCATACATATCGCTTAGGCACCCTTTGGCTGTCTGTGTTTTTTTTTGGAATTGACTCTGCCTAATCCTGCTTGTGCCTCACCTGACCCCACACAAGCATAAGCCCTGCATGTGCACCATGCTCAATTTGTGAACCACCTAATGCCTAATAATTTTCAGGGCACTGGTTATTTGGTTATGCATTATCATTAAAATGGGCCGACTTTGTTAGTTGAGTATCCTAGTTATGTTATTTACTAGGTATGAGCTTTGAACGTTATATAAGTCCATCCGTTGAAAATCCGTTTGGGTAAGTTTTGTTAGGTTATTCATATAAGTCAAATATAAAGACATAAAGTTACAAGTTCATATACTACGTATAAGATAATATTCCTCGACGATCCTCGTATCAGATTGAACTTTCATAATGAAATCTCAACTCTAAATATAGAATCAAAGTCGACCAAAACTCAAAAAAGTAATCAATCTGATAAAGACATTAAACAGCACACAGTTAGGCCTAGAACTACCCATATCATGTTTACCTTTTAAGACAAAATTCATTCCTAATATCATATTGGAACTCATTCCACTTAAATGAGCACATTGATTTGACTAAAGCACGAAATAGGGACATTCATTTGAAGATAGGTGTGTCCAACTAGGGGCGGGCATATCAGTTTCGGTTCAGTTTTTATCAGTTCTCGGTTCGGTTTGGAATGGGTGGAAAGGATGACTACCAAACGAAAAACAGTCTATGTTTCACTTTGATTTGGTTCGGTTTAGTTTGATTTGGTTTGGTTTGAATTTGTTATGTTTAATGATATATGAATATTTTATAGAATTATTTTAGTTCGACTCAGTTTTATTTGGTTTTTATTGGTTTCGATTCGGTTTAATACGGTTTCGAATTGCATAAGGTTTAGTTTTGGTTTAGTTTTGTTTGGTATGGTTCAGTTCTGTTTAGTTCGGTTTGGTACGGTTCCGCTTAGTTCGGTTCAGTACAGTTCAGTTTGGTACGGTTCGACCACCCTTATGTCCAACAAGTCATCATCATGTGTGGCATGTCAGGTCATCTGCACCGGCCAAATATATAGATACAAATTCTTATATAAGTCCTTGAACTTCTCTTATAGTTGAGAAATGGTTCTCTTATAGTCCTATCTTGTTAATCTTTTAGCATTGAACCACAGTCATAATACATATTTCCCGATCTATCACATCGCACCAAAGTGCTCCCATCTTGGGATCCTGATTAGTAGCCATGTGAGAGAACTCATTGGTGTCCATGTAAAAATTGTCATTACGGGGTCTTGAGAGGTAATGTCCATTCGCATGATCTCGTGTTGAAGAATGTGTTTGCATCATGAGCTTGAGGAGGTGGGTTGACTAGACTGACCTGTAAGTCTCTAGGTGGAACAGAAGCGTCAAACCGTGCAGTGTGGGGTACGGAAAATGAAGAGATAATCCATGGTTGTCGCCATGGAAACCATTGCGGAATGGTCCATTTAGGGCTACAAGGACGCTGCTTTGATTGGGACCCACCACTGTGATTATTACTGTGTCCACCTCCATGATTGCTGCCGGGCCTGCAACCTCACTATCCATTTTTGCTGCCACAACCAGTTGATGACAAGGCGGATGCAGATTGACCGGTGGTGCATACAAGACGTGTGGGTATCCTCTGGCGTCAACATGGATCGGGATTGAGCAAAGGTTGGTAACGGAATAATGTTAGTAATAACACTTCCTACTGTGCAACTGTTCAGAGAGGCAGAGAGGCTAACATGAAGGTGTCTGAGCCTTGAGAGCAGATGCTGGTTAGTTGATCAGCAAGAGTTTTGAGGGTCTTGCAGTAGGTGGAAAAAATCTCAAGTAAACGGCTCGGGTTTGTTTTATTATGTTGAAAGATATCAGCTAACCGCTCCCATGTAGCTTGTTCTGTTGTTTAACCTGATTTGATGGTTTTAAGAAGATGCTGAAAAATTATTCCACACTTCCGCTATGAGTTTGCAGAATGTTATTTGCCAGTTGTGGCGTTAAGAACAGCTACTGCAGAGTTGTCCAAAGTGTCGTCTTCATCTTCAATAGCAAACAACAGATCAAGAATGTGATCAATCACGACATAAGCTTGAGCAGTGGTTTTGAAGAACACAACCCAAGAAGTATAATGATCGGTTTCAAGATCTAGAGTTATGGAAGAAAAAAATGCAGGTAGACTTTTGAACTTAATTTTTTAACAATGCATATGAGTGCCAGAGAATTGGATTGTCATATGGTAATCTGTAATCTATGAAGAGGCTATCAAAGCTACTGCTGCAGGGACTGCCAATCTAGGGTATTTCAACAGCCAACTCATCCAACTTGAAAACAATTTGCTTGCACCTTCAAAATCTACTAATATCTAAAAGGAAAAGTTTTTTTGCTACAGATTTGCCGCTCAAATCTGTCAACATCAACTGGATCGACACTAAGTTCCCAAAAAAAGTGCAAAAATAAATATTCAGAAGTTATTTAGGCGTGTTGGAGAAGATTTTATCCATTGAAAGTAATCATGACATACGGAGTATTTGGTGAAAATAGCACAATAAAACAAAAAATGGATGAAGACCCATCATGTCGCCAGCCTGTAATAGAATTGACTATTCAAAAGTTCAATAGTACTCCATATCGTCGAGGATTTAGAAAACGAAAAAAGAAAATCAGCAAAAGATGTCCCACTTGCTGTTCCTTGGGTCGGTGCATGCAAGTTGGCAAGTTGGTTCACTTCGCTATAAATAATTCGCAAAATCGTGCCAAACTGAATACCATCGAAAATTTCATTCTGTCTCTTCTCTTTCTCTTTTCCCTCTCAGGTTCTATAGTTCGAAGTTGAACGCCTGCAATTCGCAATAATATCATGGAAATACGTTTATGCATGTTTGTTATGAATATATTATACGAAGTATTCGTGTGTGTGTTGATTAATTCAAAATAAAGTACTCATCAATTTATTTTATTGCTCAATAAAATGTATACTGCGGAGTATTTATTATGATTAATTATATCTAGCGTTAGTTGTATATCTAAATCTAAATATTATCAGAGCATATTTTAAGAGAGTTTTTTTTTCAATGATAGAAGTTATTCAGTTTGTTGAGTGTTAATTAGTGGGTCAAATTACAAATACAAATACTACACAAAAAATGCTTAAAAGCTAAAAGTATCAACATGATTATGATGTTATTCATAATTAAGACTTTACTGGACGAAAAGTTAATGAACAATCTCAGATTTTAGGGATTCTGGGAATGCATCAATTTAAGATGGAGCCATGGTGTGTAAAACAATGAATTCTGGAATCAAGGTTTTGTAGAAGAGGGGAATGAGACCGAGTGCCATAAAAAATTGAGTTATTCTGATACTCCGTATATTTTTGTAGAAATCATATATACAGATGTTTATGTAGGTGGTATACTGATGTGGTCTATTTAATATGGTAGAAGTTGATGTTTATTTTTTCCACCGGCATATAAACTATGTGGATTTGTGGAAAATATTTGAGGAGGATTTTGTGTGGGGCAATTGTAAGATCGGCACTTACGTATGAAAATTGAAAACCAAATTAAAAACATATGTACTGCGTTGTAACAAAGAGCATGACAACACAACGCATATGGAAGTGTGAATGGAGGTTTCACACTTGGTCTGTAGTAACAAATATTGGAAAATAAGGGGAGGTTTCTTTTATGTTTTTTGGGTACATATTTATATAATTAATTTATTAGCTATTTTTGAATTAAGAACTACTATAGATTCTATCTGTTGAATGTGTTTCGAAAGTTATTGTGCTGAAATTGATAGCATTACTTTTCATATACGGACTTAACTAACATTTTCCCACAAATTCATATTTGAGTATTGTTTAATAATGTCATAACACACCTTCACATATTTGCACCCCGCCTGATTTGCCAATGTACCCGAGCAATTCGTATAAATGCATAGTCACCATATTACTTGAGATGTTTATACTTAGACTTCTGATGCAATTATAAGTGTGCATAGTCACCATATGACTACTGATTCAATTTGTATAAATGCATAGTCACCATATTACTTGAGATGTTTATACTTAGACTTCTAATGCTTTCATGTATATCAGTATTACATGAAGATAGATGATGTCATCAATTGATAGTGTGATTTGAATTACTAAGCACCCATAAATTTGAAAGAAAAATTCTTAAACCGTGCATCGCACGGGTGAGTTTACTAATTGTTAAGAAATACACAGATACTACCCTTTCATATATGAGCATGTTTATAGACTTCCTAACCCAAATAGTATAATTAGCTTTTTCCAGTTCTAGAGTTATGGGGGTGAAATAATGGAAACAGTGAGAGCAGGATCATTGGGGGGTCTTTGTTGAGCCATTGGGAGGGATTGGGGCGATTTTTTGGTTAGAGGGGGTAGCTGACTGCTAGAGAGGTGGGAGAGGGGTGAAATGGGTGGTGGTGGTTGTGGTGAGTATCTCACATCGGTTGTTTACTGAGTTTGAGTGTGACACATAAGCACAAGATAAATCTTGCCTCTTAACAATCCTTTTGGGGTCAGTTCGTCAATCATAATTTACAAGTTATCCGTAACTGATGCTTGTTTTATTTCAGAATGCATGTTTTTTCTCAAAGTTCTGTACCATCAGGGGGTTGGTTCAAGGTTTTGTTCATGGTGATTGTTTTCAGGAATTTGAATAATAAGCTGCAGGATGGAGTGTATGAATTCTTGGAGAGCAGGGGAATAGATGGTGAACTTTCTGCATTCTTACACAATTATATGATGAACAAAGATAAAACCGAACTTATTCGGTGGCTCAGAAGAATCAAGTCTTTTATAGAGGAATGATTATGAAAGCAACTTATTTGCCTACTGGATTTGTTATGTACAGAGTATGTCTGATGCACTGATACATTTGTTGATTTGTGTTAAATCTGGATTACTAGAGTCTGTTGCTTTTTTGTTTTATCATTGGCCTAGAGTTTAACCTGTCAATGGATGGGTCGAGAATTGAGACTCACTTCCAACCCGTAAGGCCGTAATCATCATTCTATTATTGTTGGAACCCACAGTATCGTACTGAGCGGTCTGAGCCTTCTAATGCAGAGTAGATTTGTTCTGATACATGTGTATATGAGTGAGAGAGCCTTTTATTTTCCAAATATGAGTTTAGTGTTTTATTTTGTAAAACATATTGGGGTTTTGACCTGAATATTATTTATTTATTTATTTATTGAGAAACCTGAATATTATTAAAATGTGGATAATGAACATAAAAGTGTTTTTTTTTTAATTTCCAAAAATTATGACTAGTAAGTAGTGGTGGACCGGGCCCGGTCCGGTTCCGGTTCGGGTCTAGGCCCAGCCGGGCCTGAAAGGTTATGGGTAAGGACCAGCCTGGTAGGCTACCGGTTCCGGGCCGGGCTGGTTCTGGTAAATTTTTTATCGGTGTTTTATTATTTAGTTCAACCCCTGCCCCCCCCCCCCCCCAAACCCCTTGGAATGACCCAGCCCAATCAAAACAAAAAACAACCCGAACCGGCCCTCGCTATTTTACTGCACTGGGACCACCCCCGATATACTCTCCGGGCCGGGCCTAGGCCCGGTACCAGAACCGGTCTTTTTTGCCGGGCCCGCACAGTAGCGGGCTGGGCCCGCACAGTAGCGGGCCGGTCGGACCGGACCGGGTCCATGACTACTAGTAAGTACTAAGTAGTAAGCATTAAGTTTACTAAATTACCTCCAGCCTAGTCTCCAGTGACACTGGCCACAGTGACCTTGTCACCGCTCCCTCCTCAACCCAATGACCGTCGCCGCCCTGCTTCATTTAATGATGGTTGTCGCTGCTTAGCCCCCTCAGGCCCCAACTGCCCCCCATCAGCCAAAACCTTGATCTAGTCCTCTCCCTAGCCCCACCTCAGATCCATGTCATCCATCCATCCCTCCTCGCTACTGCCCAACCCATAACCATGTCGCTTTGGCTGTGACAGCCACATCCCTAGCCCCCGGGCAGCGATGGCGACCACTGACCAACCTTTCTCCCACCATTGCACCCCCCCCAACCAGCCAACACAAGACCCCATTGCAGCCCCTACCGGCCTTTCTGGAAAATGTGAAAAAGTAATATTTATGGAATTGGAAAGTGTAATGATAATATAGAGGTCATTCTTTCAAATATATTTCACTAAATTATTAGAGGCATATTTCTATATGCCTTTTGCATATAGAAATATTGGGAGTTTGGGACATGCGCGCCTATGTTGCATTTTTAGTGAACGAATGAGCTTAAATAAATGGATGGGGAATATTTGAATATGTTCTGCAATTAGAAATACATCTAAGGTTAGCTGCAACCTAGCTCTGTCACTAAATCAAATTCCGTACCATTTTATATGTACTCATTCAGTCAATTTAGTTTTTAGTGTAATCCAACGCCGTCAATATATTGAACGTCGATATATTGACCCAAAAAGGCTTTTTCAATTAAAATCTACTTTTATTATATACATCCATATTTTCCCATTTATTTTTTGCAAATACTTATGATTTAAAAAGTCAAACATCTCAATGTAAAAATACTTACAATTGGATTTTAATTTTTGTTAATGTTACTTCAGACCTATTTTAAGAAAAATAATTGAAAGATATGAGAAAAAAATCATGAGATCTTAAAGTTTTAGCATTTGATTTTATTTAAGATAACATTTAGTTAAAAATAGTGTCCTTTTTGTAGGACCTCAAATTGTGGACAAACCTAGGTTCTTTAGATCCTTATCTTCTTCGTTTGATTTAGGCATAGTTTTCAGAAGAAATATTTAGGTGATAGTTGAAGTGTCATCATTCCTTAACACAACATAGCTATGATCTAGGGGTGGACTCGGACCCGGAACCGGCCCGGCCCGGTTACTGTTTGGACCGGCCCGGCCCGGGGCCCGGTGGGTCCATCGGTTCGGTTTGGCCCGGCCCGGGTGATGGGCGGTCCGGGCTCGGGCCCTGCTTTAGGTGAACCGGCCCGGCCGGTTCGGGCCCGGTCCGGGCCGGATTTTATTTTTTATTTTTTTTTTTGAAATTTTTTTAAGTTTTGGATTGGATTAGGTATTTTGGGCCATTTGAGGTGGTTTGGGGTTGAGGGGGAGGGGGTTAAATAGGAGAACCAAAATAAAAAAAAATAGACCGGTTGGAACCGGCCCGGCCCGGTTTGGCCCGGAACCGGAAGCGGAACCGGCCACCGGCGGTTTGGGCTCGGGCCCCAGTTTTCTGGCCCGAGGCCCGGCCGGGCCCAGGCCCGAACCGGCCCGAGTCCAGCCCTACTATGACCTAGTTCTCCATAAATTGTCTTTCCAATCTAAAAGGTGGAATCGTTAACCCCAGACTCCTCACACCCCGATCCGACAGAAGGGTGGAGGAATAAGTCATTGTATGGTCTCAAATGGTTTCTGAGTGAGGTGGTTCATGGCCTGCACTACAAGAAAATTGATTTATAGAGGCAACTCTTCGAGGCAACTTATATTTCGTTGTCCCTAAAAGTATGTTTTAGCATCATATAAGTTATGGTTGCCTCTAAAAACTATCATTTGAGACAATCATATTTGACTTGCCCCTAAAAACTATCATTTGGGAGCAACCATATTGGACTTGTCTCTAAAAATATCATTTAGGAGCAACATTTTTATGTCTGCCTTCAAAAGTTTGACGCAAAATTATTATTGCGTCAAAACATGTGCTTCTAAAAGTTTCTTGAGGCAATAACACATTTGCGCCTCTAAAACATATACTACGTATTTAACGTTAACTAAATTACGGTGTTGTGTATACACGTAATTGAATTTACGCAATAAACCTAACATTTTCTAACATGTTTGCCGACTTATTATTAATTTTATTGAGGAGTAAATTTTAATATTTTTGCTGCTCACCTTTAAATTTTTTATTTTTAATTTTTTATATTTTTTTATTTTTTAAAAATAAGAAATAAAATATATCAATGATCAAAGTTATACTTATTTGCTTCTTTACAAGGTTAGTAAATGCAATTGAAAATATACACATATTCTATTAAAACAGAAAAGAAACTCTCACGATGTTGTTGCCGGGAAGTGAAGTTGAGATCTTAATCCAACAACCTCACTCAACCACCATTGAGCTACTTGTGCGGGTATACAATGTCTTTCCAAGTATGCTTCACATGCAATGGTTGGATTTTGTTTCTCTCTTAAGCTACTCAAAAGGACCAGGTCTTGATACTTCTTACAAAGAAATGCTTCTCGAATTTTTTGTATAGAAGCTAGTAGGTTTGTGATAGAATAGGATCTTAATGAAAGCACCTTTGTCATGAATGAACCAATTAAGATTGTGATTTTCCTTAACAAGGTCTATATTTAATTTTATTCTTCTGGTTCTTTACCGGACATGAAGTTTTATGTTGTCGCCTCACCTATTATATTTCATGATATTGTGATCTATAATAATGTCTAAACTTCATATTTACGTGAAATTAATTTAGAAAGAATGACGAAAATAGAACTCCCAAGTTCTGATATGATAAAAATAGGAGCGAATTCTGTATGGACTGAAAAGAGACTAAAAAGGAAATGAATAGACTTAAATGCCCCTTAGCTCTAAGAAACCATTGCCTCGCCATTTTCTAAACCAGGAGATGCGCATTCTTCTTCTTCCCTGCTTTGACTTGGAGACACCTCCACCAGCAAGAGAAACATCATCACCGCCGCCCTCGCCTTCGCTGCCTCTCCGCCGCCGCCGCCGCCGTCGATCATGTTGCGCCTTCTGCTTCTTCTCTTCTTCTCTTCTTCTCTTACTTTTCTTCTCCTTTGCTCGTACGATTGGGGATGATTGAACAGCAACGGCTTGGGCTTAGTTGCGGCGGCCACACTCCAGATCTGAACTGGACGGTTAGGGTTCTGGCTAAGACCTGTTTGGATTGGGCGGTGGTGAGGCTAGTAGGCCGGCGGCAGGCGCAGTGGTGCAAAATTTGCGGCAGCGGGGGTGGCGGGGGAGGGCAAGGCTAGGGTGGGGTAGGGGATGCGGATGGGTGAGGCATGGGGCCGGGTGACACAGGGTGAGCCAGGGGTTGGGTCATGCAGGGGAGGGGGATGGGGCTAGCTCTGAGGATGGCGGCGGCGGTTTGTCGATGGTGACCGTAGGTGGTGGTAGCGTTGGTCACTATTGGGTCGGTAATGTAATTGGACGGATCAAATAACTGTAACTGTCGGTCGGGTAATTGTAACTGGGGACGGGCTGAGTAACTATAACTGAGGTTCGTGTAACGGTATTAGTCGGGTGGTCACTGTGACCGACCGTGGTGAATTTTGGTCACTGCTGAATTTTGGATTTTTGGTCACTAATGATTTTTGGTCACTGGATGAATTTTGTAACTATGTCATTGGTAACTGTAACATTGGTCACTGCACATTTGGTCACTGTGACGGGTTACTGTAGCAAGCCAGTGGGTTTGGACTTAGTAAGGGTGTAATAGTCCCTTAAGTATTATTTAGTCTTATTTTTGGAACTTAAAATAAAAGTCTCTTTTTTGTCCAAATGCTTTTAATTAGTATTATTTGAGAACAAACCCCATTAATTTAATAGCTTTATTGTTTCTTTCCGTCAGGATTGTGCGTGTTACCATTACTCTGGTTTAGTCTTTGCGTACTAAACCAGTTTCGTTTTTATATATACAGTCATTAGTTAATTTTATATAAAATATACTCCGTATATTTCGTTAGATCAATATTTTCAATTCTATGTATACGTCTATTTCCTAGCGTTGTCTAGAGATATTATTTTCGGTGGCGAAGTGTCGCTCGCCAGATTTATATTCTCCGTCATCATCGGTCGGGTGTTCTTGGATGTTAGTAAGAGATGTGTATTGGCTTCTCTATCGATCCTGAATCAAGATTTCTTCTCTATCAATATAGAGGTTGATCGCCCCCCTCCTGAATCACCACCGATCAAGGAAGATGCGAGTGAATGGATTGCTTTCTTTCCAGTGACTGGTGAAATCGGAACAATTTCTGTACTTGGCTCCTTACCGGTGACTGGAAAAACCGGCAAGTTTAACAAATCCTTTTCAGTGGCTGGTCAAACCGGACCTATTTCGAGTAGCACAAGCAGTCAAATTGCGGGACGAGTCTACATAGTTGCAGGATTAGTGAACATGATAACTTTTATATGGTTTTTTTGTTCTTTGTCTCACCCTAGTGTAGCATTGAACGATGTGATTGTAATGCTTTGGCTTTTGATTGTTATGTTTCTAATTACCCTTATTAATAATAATTAAGTTATTGATTTTCAAATATATATAGGTATTTTTTGCGGCACGTGGGGTCCCGGGACCCGTGGGATCCTTAGTGGGTCCGCCACTGTTGTTTTTTTTATTAATAGTGACTTATGTTATACGAAGTACTACGTACTCAATATCTGCAAAAATAACATTTTCGCAATTGAAACCTTGTCGGGAGGGTCAATAAAAGATTGAACTGTTTCTCCATTTAAAAAGTTCATATCCCCGTGGTATGCTCCCAACTTCTTTATTCTTGTATTTTTGTGTCCGTGCAACATATATGCTGACTTCACGGACCTGATCAAGCAGTATAGAATCAAATAAACAAACTATGGTATGCAAAAACTTGTGGTTTCTTATCTTCAGGAAATGCAAATCTTGTGGAATTGGGGGGGGGGGGGGGGATTCAACAATAAGCCTAAACTGGAGCTGATTCTTCACCAATTAACTGTGTACATGGCAACTGTTTACATACAAATCAATTCAAGATTCCATTCGTGTCAAAAAAGCAAAAATTATTAACTTGTGCCTTTGTAGGTAATATACTAATATACAAAAGAATATGATGGAGCCAAGTCATGATCAGAGATGGATGGCAGTGTGAGAAAAATGCATTACCTTTTCATTTTGTCAACCAATAAACCAGGATGAGAAACACGCACGCTGAGGCAACTAACGAAAGAATGATGGTATCCATTGACTTTCTCTTTTTGATCGCTGACATAATGTGATTAACCTGCAAAATCAAATCAGGTACTCAAGTAGATTGGTAAACAAAAGTACATTGTCTATCGTGTGAGAATATGATTGGAACTTGGGATTGGTTCCTCTCGGATTTACGTACTATCTATGCTTACAAGAAGGCGTGGATATTTTAAGTTTCAGTTGGGATTTTTGGTTCAGTAGGGTTCAGAGTGGGAAAATGGTCACTAAAATGAAACAGAATTTGTTTCAGCTTGACTCATTTAGGTTTGATCAAGGTTTATTTGGTTTTTTATTGGGATTTTAATATAATTTTAGTTCAGTTCGTTTTAATCAGTTTGGTTGAGTTAGGCTTAGTAAAAACGATGTTGAACTAAACCAAATTCGATATGATTAAATTTCAATTAGCTCAGATTGAATTAGTTTGGTATGGAAAAACAGTCAAACCGAACCAAAATGCCCATCCCTACCTACTCAAAAGCATACTAAAATGATTTTGACCAGAAGTAATTTGTAATAAGAATACTTGAATGAAACAATGTGGGAAACAAGAAGAAGAAAAGCACACGCCCTTACTGTTGGAAGCCGACTGCTGACATTGCTAAGCTTTAAATTAATGCCACCAAATGTTGACCGTTGATACACAAGTGCCTTTATAGTTTCTTGTGCTTGAGAAATCACACCATCCATCTGGCAGAATCATAACTCTTTAAGTTGCTCATTGAATATAACATGCACAGATGCATTGACAAAACAACCACCAGCCACCAGAACTTATCAATCGAGAAACAAAATAGAAGAACAATGTTATGTCACATATCTGCGGAGATGCATATATTTAGCTTAAGAATGTCATCATCATCATCATCATCATTTTCATTTACCCCAGTGCCGCAAAGGCTCCCACCTACGGTGGGGTAGGGGGGGTCGGATGTACACAGTCTTACCCCTGTACTAAAGCACAGAGAGACTATTTCCGGATGACCCATAGTGAAAATCGCGGCCAAAAAGCAAATTTTCTCTTAGTTTGCAGCCTCTACAATGTAAATAGGTGAAAGATTTGGGTCTTTTACAAAAAGCAAAAATAGTTTTCGAGAAAATGACACATTGCTGAAACCATTTTACTTGAGGGGGTGTTTACTTAATGTTAGAGAGCTATCTTTTAATATTTGGTTAATCTTCTTTTATTTTTCAAAATGAACTAAAAACTATTACTCCAGAAAGTTATTGATAGGAAACATAATAAATATAATACTAATAGTCTAATAACAAAAGTAATAATAATAGTACTTGATAAATGATAACCACGGATCATAATAAATATATATATTTATAACAAATTAACAATCACTAGACAAACTACTCATGAATAAAACTCCTAATTTACAATTAGCCAAAATAATACTTCCTTTGTTGGGAAATAATTGCAACATCTCGCTGGGCACAAAGAATAAGGAAAGCTAATAAAGCATTTCTTTCCAATTCTACCCTTCAATATGACAAACTTCTAACAGCAACTCCGTTTTCTTTTCGCCATCACTGGTTTCAATTATGTTCTCTATTCTTTAAACCTTATCAAAAACACATCTTAATCTTTAGACCAAATATTACAGAAATTTCATTTTTAATAATTCTATTTTTAATTCTGTGATAAGAACAGAAAAATAAAATCAATGGGGTAAACCGTTGCCCAGAATAATCAACGGAAGAATCCGTTGCCCAAGCTTCTTTAGCTAATAAATCTGATTTTTTATTGATGATCCTTTGAATAGCGATGCAGGGTATAAATAATACTCCTTACAACCCAGCTCTAGGAGGAAACAAACTAAAGTAATCAATTGTGCGTAGCATACTGCCTAGCGGAAATAGGAGACTTGCGTACCAAGCCTCAGGGACTTGCGTACCAAATCTAAGGAAAATCCTAATGTAACAAGAAGTAATAATAAAAGAAAACGCATAAATGAAATAAATTAAATTAATTAACCAGCCCATGTATAATCCAGCCCATAACCGGCCCACGGAAGTGGGCCCAAGCCCGTTCCCGCCCCATGCTCTTCCCGCTTTCTATCATTCTGTCATTAGTTTCTCTACTCCATTTCGATTTTGGACTCTCCCAAGAGCTACCCTATTGCTTCTTTCTTATGAGCAATTTGTAATTGATCACTTTATGTCTACAATCTGTGCTCATCGAAGGTACCCCTCTCCAAAAACGCAAAAAGATATTTTTTTTAGTATCTCAATTCTTTTAGTTGTTCTACAACGGTAAGAAGAAAGCAAATGAGGTGGAAAGGAAAATGGTAGAAAGAAATAAATTAAAGAGAAATGGGTCAAATTGTATGTAAGTTTGAAAAAAAAGGAGTGGGAAGTAAAAAACAATGGTAGGAAGAAAGAAATGAAAGAAGAAAAATGGATTGCCATGGAAGAGAAAGAGAAAGGTAACATAGGAGGATAAATAATCTAAAGGGACAAGTGCAAAAAAGGTACTTGTGGTTGTGCACATTTTCAAATAGGGGTCTGAGGTCCATTTTTTCACATAGTGGGACATGTGTTTTCAATTTGGAGGTCTTCGTCTAAACGTTGTCAAAAAGGAGGCGACGTGGATGCATTAAAAGTGAAATGTCACCTTTTTTACGGAGTTTAGATGGAGACCCCCCATGGGTGCTAACGGATTTAAAACATATGCCCCACTTTGTGAAAAAATGAACCTCAGACCTCTATTTGAAAATGCGCACAATCACAAGTACTTTTTTGTACTTATCCCTAATATAAATATAGAGAAGAAAAGGGAGAGAAAGAGGAAAGGTAGAGCGTGTGAGTATAGGCCAAGTAGGTGAAGATATTTAATTTGGGGTAGAGTAGTGGGTTGGGTTAAGTAAAAGTTTATCAGATGGGTGCAAGGGTATTCTAGTCTTAGTGGCTATTTTTAAAACCTAAAAAGGAAAGTGTTGCAATTATTTAAGAGCGGAGAAAGTACTTGATAACAACAATAGTGGGTGCCGGGTGGTGATTGGGATGCTGTCAGAAGTAGAATGGTGGAGGCAATGAATGGCGGTGTTGGAGGCAAGGCGGGGTGGTGACAAGGTGACTGTTTGGTGGTCTACAATGATTAGAGAAAGAGATGAAGAATTCAAACAGAATTTTATTAGAGAAGATGAACAGTACACAATCCAAGGACGAAGCCTCCCAAATGAGCCGAAGCCCAATCCAAGGCCGAAGCCTCCCAAATGAGCCGAAGCCCCCAAAGGAGATAAACTCGATCTTCCCAGTCCCAAGACCTAAAGTCCCAAAAGCCCCCTTACTAACTCCCCCTTCCCATCGATTTATACTACAATACTCAAGTATCCTTATTACTAATATTATTATTATTATTATTATTATTATTTCTAATAATAGTCTAATACTCTAATAGGCAGGTTCCTATCAATACTCCCCCCCTAAACATCCACCTTGCCCTCAAGGTGGGTGATAGGAAACAGCCTCAATCTTCTGCTTCCTCTTCCTCTTCCGTGTTCCTCTTCCTTCCCAATATCTAACTGGTTAATGGACTAGGGACTTCAGTACGAGATCTTTTAAAATCACAGAACTTTCAGCAGTAGAAGAGATTTGAAGTGAAGTTTCATTCGGCTCAGACACTGTCCAGCAGTCCCTTTCAGCTTCTCCCTCTTCCAATTCTTTGACTACTTCATTCGAGAAGTAAGATCTAAGAGGCTTTAGCAAGCAAGCAAGCAGATACACTCTTCCAGCTGCAGTTCTCCTAACCAAGGAACAAGAAGGATTATCTCTCATGTAAAACTTCCCAAGTTGGTCCCTTGTTTCAATTTCACCTTTTCTTTGGTTTTAATATCTTGCTCCACAAACTTTCCCACTGTCTTCTCATATAAGAAATCTGTAATCCTGGTCTCTCCATCCCAATACCTTACTGGTTTCTGAACATACAACTTTTCTGTTTGTCTTATCCTCTTCACTTCTTCTAGCAAGAGCATCAATAGTTTGCCCCCGTGTGGAATATTTCCTTTATCAGTCTTAGTCAATCCTACTCCCAATCTATCTTGAATGTTCTTAATAGAAGTAACATCATCACTTTTGAAACCATCAATCTTGTCCAGCCCTGTTATAGGAACATCCAATCTAAGTTCAGGAACGATATCAATCAAGGGTTTCAACTTAACCTCCACTTCAGGGGCTGTTTCCATAACTGAAGGTACAACTTGTTTTAATTTGGTGTTTATTGTTGTGGGTGGAGTCTCTTGGGGTCTTTTTTCTGATGTGAGTACATCAAATGTTCTGGAAGCGGTTGGCTCCGGCGCCAGGTGAGAGAGGATAAGCGAGGATGAACAGTGAGATCCGGCAGGTGAATGAACCTTCGAGCTGGGGACTTCTGCTGTCGTCGAAGCCAGAGGACCAGAAAGGGTTGTTGACGCATTCAGAAAAATGGCTTGACACGAAGAAAGCGAACCCTGAGAATCGATGGGAGGCGAAGATGAATATTCTCCTCTCAATCGAGTCTTTCTTGGGCTCGAATTTTTCGCGGCTGAGTAAGTTTGCGAATGGCGAGATTCTGTCAGCAAATTCGAATGATGAGAAGAAGTCCGCGATTGCGAACTAGAAGAAACAGTTCGCGATTTGCGATGTGATGCAGATGAGCGATACGATGATTCTGAGGTGTGCGACCTACTTCTGGATCGATCTTTCTTCTGGTTCTTAATCTCCGCGAAGCCAGCCTTCATCTTCGCTCTTAATTCCTCAAACTTCGCATTTGATTCCTTCTGATATCTGTCAAATTTCCGCTCGATTTCAGTCATTCGCTCCTCCAGTTTTCTTTCTATCTGCGTTATACGACCTTCCATCTTCATTCGAGTCTGTCTCGTCCAGCGATCGTCTCGCTCTGATACCAATGATAGTTACCTCCAGTTAACCAGCACAAATTACAGAAAGAGATGAAGAATTCAAACAGAATTTTATTAGAGAAGATGAACAGTACACAATCCAAGGCCGAAGCCTCTCAAATGAGCCGAAGCCCCCAAAGGAGATAAACTCGATCTTCCCAGTCCCAAAACCTAAAGTCCCAAAAGTCCCAAAAAGAATACTGGTATAAACGATTGATCAAAGTTTACCATCATAGCTGAAAAAGTAAAAAGTGACTAACTAAAAAGGAACGGAGATAGTATAATTGAATTTAATGCCGACGACACGAACTAGTTGAAAATTGAAGTGCTATAATAATAATGATGAAGTTCTTTTTAATTAAATGCATTTTTCTATGAGAACCAAACACAATTGAAAATGACTTCCAAAGGTTATGTACTGCCTTCCCAAACGTTAAGGCAAAACTAATGGCAAAGTGAAGTTCTGCAGTAACTTCTGCTTGCTAGTTGCAACAATATTTCAAGCCAAACTGCCAGCAACCCAATCTTCAACAAGGTACATGTGAATTTAAGCAAATACTTGTGGTTTGAAATCTACAAGATCATTTTTCTTAACTCACCATATGAACTTGTCATACATTTACGATTATCATCTAAACTCTACACCCTAAAGATACCAAGGGGACCCAAAATCTTTTTATTTCACCCAACCTTGCAGCTCCTTTCCTCCCATGAGAAAGAGAGATCATTATCACCAGATATTAACACACCCTTGGCCTACTTCTTAATGTTCCTTTTTTACAATAAATTTTCTCTAAATGCTGATATAGTGATATATGATGTCACATTTCATCAAACAAGATGCAAAAAACTCTTTCTTTGTATTAAGTTTTAGAAACATGAAAAAGACTTATTTACTTGTTACCTGCCCTGTGTTCCGGTGTAGGGAAGCACGCTCATTAAGGAGTGCTTGCTCATAAGAACCATTGTTATCATCTTCCAGATCCAAATTACTGCGATCAAACTCCCTAAAATCATCGAGCAATGAGGCATGTTCCTTTTTAGCTCTATAGCTCGAACGGAGACGATTAAATTCCTACAAACCAATGTGCATTTTTCATTTTGGTTTGTAATAATACCGACCTTCAAATTAAGCTAAGAATATGGATGCTATTACTATATGTAATACGTACTCCCTCCGTCCCCTTAAGTTTGTCCCGTTTTACCTTTTTCGTCCGTCCCATTAAGTTTGTCCCATACCATATTTGGTAACATTTGAGTGGTTAGAATTCATTCTTACTTTATTTACACTTTATCAATTCAATACCAACCACACAATTCCAATTTTTCTTAAAAAACCACACCACACCCCTCCGTCCCAAACTTAGGGGGACGGAGGGAGTAGTATATATTTAAAAAGAACACAGTTCACATGAAAGAGAAACAAACACACCTTTCAGAATCAAGTCTTAAAACACTCTCTGGGAAGGAATTTTCATATCAAAGGTTTCTTCCAAAAATGTGGCTTTCACAGAAAGGCAGTGCGTAAAAGGAAGAATTCTGATGATTTGAAACATAATAGGAGATAAGGAGGCCATGAGCCCATGATCTCATCCTCAGGTTGTGTGCTTAAGTGCATGAGGGATAATGAAACTCATAATCATTTTTTTGGCATTTCATGAGTGCAATGTAATTATTGAGAAGAGTATTATTGAGCATGAGGAGAGTTGGTTAAATCATATAGTCAATAGAAGACGCATTGAATGAAAACTTTGGCTCACTTGGCTCGAATCAAGCATAATTTTTCATAAGGGAGAATAGAGTTAATGCTGCTTTGTTAGTGATTAATGACACTTTGGCATCTCTATGTAAAATCTTTCTGTGCAATCCATACTTTTGTGTGTACTTAACGTTCCTCATTAACTATTTTTTCCATTTTCCCCATCCAATTTTACCTCTTAAGTATGAAAAACATGACCTGCCCCACCAAACTCTAATGATCTCATCTTAAAAAAATCTTGTAAAAAAACTGTGCAGATTTGGCCTTTTGTTGGTAGTGGGGATTGATAAGTTAACATCTGGTGACAATGAAATAAGCTACAAAAAGAACCACAATGCTGCCTCCATTAGCTTCCTCATTTTTGCCTTATAAACATATAACTGAACTGAAGCATTTACTCCAGAACAGAGTTTAACACTATATGTATCAAACAAATACCTGAGTAAGATCCTGAAGGATTTCTTGATGGCGAGTCAATGTGTGTGAAAAAAATTCAGATCCTCCAGATGAGACCCAAGAATGCATGTGAGAGTTGACTTGTTGGAGCTGTTTCAGTAACTGTTCTATCCCACTTTCAAGATCATTGTCTGCAGCATTCTCAACTTTTGTGCTGACTAATTTACGATATAAATGCATTTGCTCATCAAGCTGAGCTTCGAGCTTCCTTGCCTATAGCCGCATAACAAATATAGCAATTAGAGGAGAGTATAAGAAATTTTAAAAATTTTGATGCTGGTGAATACAAGTATCCCAAGAGGCTAATACCACACTAGCAGTTAAGTCGTATGATAAACTAAAGGAAAGCCCACTTCTCACAATAGGGGCTTATTTGAGGGATGGATGTTCCTCTGATTGTCCAAAGGAAGAAACCATGAAATGCAAGGAATAAAAAAATGTATAATTATCAACTCTGAGGCCTGAGCTGTTATGTATTATCGAATAGACTGAAGGTTATTTTAGAAATCTATGCGAAAAATATTTCATTAAATCCCGATTAATCAAAATGTGTAAAGAAGAAAAGGTAAACACTGCATTATTGATTATTCTGAATCATTAAACATGACTGTGTGGTTTCATGTTCGTTTTGTAGAAAGTTAGAAATATTACTATTAATAATAAATGATGGCGATGGTAGTTTTATTATCTTACGTTTTGTACAAAACCACATTATACAATATTGTATATCATAAAGTGTACAAAACCACATTATACAGTTTTGTACAAAACCACATTATCTTACTATTAATAGCAGGGGTGTACTGTAAGGAGTCGGCAGAAAGGGAGAATGAGATAAGTCAGTGATTATAATTCTCTGATTTTTATTTATTTAGTGTTTTATTGTTTAACTTTTTTGTGTTTGGTGTTTGGCTTCGTTTTGTGATTTGAGTGCATCGACCTTGAGTAATTAGTAATTGGCTAAGTGATATATTTGTTTTACCTCTGTAATTGGCTTATTGCCTTAAGTTCTTATTTCACAGCCTTCCACAATCCTTAGTGAAGTGATTTACGGAGTAATTGTTTTACCTCTACAGTAATGTTTTTAATTTTTTATGTGTGCGATTGTGTAAGAGCACATATGTGAATTTTTAATTTAACGTAACACATTTATTCTAATTTTGTGTATAATTTACATTTAATTTATATATGCTAATTGTATTTGTATTTAATTGTTATAGGTTAACTATACATATTTTATGTTTATTTGGTAATCGTATAAAAACCAAATTATCAAAAACTTTCACATACTAATTTAGTCATGTTTAAACATAAATATGGGTCAAAGTTAACAAACTTATGTAAAAGTATAAAAAGGAATTCCAAAATACGGACAAAGAGAGTATTATATTTATCTTGATTCCTTCAGTTATTTTTTTATGGAGATACTTTATTTAGATTATTTTTTATGAAACAATAATGATTATAATATAAAAATAATAATATCTTGTGCACTGCATGGGTACTAATGTACTATACTAGTATTTAAAATCGTGGATGAGTCCTGCCCCTCTTCCTCTCACAATAAAAAACTTTTTCGCCTCAAAGATTTCCCATGTATTTGACACGAATTTTCTATTCTCTGTCCATGTTTCTTCAAAATAAAGGATCAATTATTTTCCCGGTAATACCAACCAAACCATCTTCACATAACACTTAAGTTCTTCAGTGAAAGCCAACCTTGCTCAATTGAGAAAGATGCATTAGTCCAAGGTTGTCAATGGCGCGCCATGGCGACTGCGCCATGCGCCATGTGGCGCGGAAAATGCCCCTTCGCCATAAAAAGGGCTGTGGCGTTGGGTATACACATGGCGTCGCCATTGTGTCGCCATCGCCATTTTATCGTCATCGCCATGGCGATCCTTTGACATTTTAAAAAATCTGCGCACATGAAGGTTCGGAAATTTGGGGCTGTTGGGCCTGCTGAACGTTAACATAATAAAGCTAAATAGAACTTTATATAAAAACCTATTATAAACACACAAAGCCCATTATTAACAACCCTAACAAAAAAACTTAAACAAACAAAGCTTGGAGTGCGGACAGTATGCGACAAAGTTAAAGGCAGCCTGCGAAAAGGACAAGATTGCTGCCCAAAAAAATGAATGATTTGGTATACATTCGGCAGAATCAACGTCTTCAAGATCAAGCTTTCAAAAAAATGAAAGTATGTTTGGATGACATTGACGATTGCAATGAATGGATTGATGAAGCTGCCGAGCAAAATGAAATAGAAAACTGGGATGTAGTGGAAGAAGTTGTTGGTGTTAATGAACCAAATCACAACACAAGAGCAACAACATCAAGGGCATCAACACTTCACCTGCACGACGAAGAGGAGATGGAGGAAACAGAGGTGGCGGAGGAAATGGAGGAAACGGACGAGGTTGCAGATCCCTCTGATGATGAAATGAATGAGGATGGTGTGCCATTGCTATCAGATTCAGACCAAGATGATGATGAGTGCGATGATTGATGATGATTATGCCATAATCATCAAACAAAAACACAAGCTAACAAGCCTAAATCCTAACATATTTTGCAAGACATGAAACTTTTTTTGAATATTATGTTTTTGGGAAGTACTTTAAACTATTTTAACTTCACATGTTTTGCTTAGGATGCTGTTATTCAACTTTTTTATCATGTTTTGGTGGTGGGGTAACTTGGGTTGATGAATTGCAGTGTTTATTATTCATTTTGAAGTTTTTTTTTGTCACGTGGCGACGCCATATTTGCGCCATCGCCATCGCCATGGGAAATGGCCTGTGCGCCATGGATTGCGCCATGCGCCATGACAACTTTGCATTAGTCACATGAACTTCAAAAGGTATATTTAGAGCTCAAAATTATGCAGCCTAGTCGCCTAGATTTGAAACATCAGAGCTATATAATATGATGTTTGGTCACATCATAGAAAAATATCAGCCTAGTCAAAGTTCATAAACTATGTTGGCGTGGTCACATCAATTTACAAAAGATCAAGTGAGTATGCTCTCTTGTGGTTCTAAAGGCTCCCTTAACAAATCTTAATTGATTCACAGTGAGATCAAGAATTTGAGTTGTCAGACAGATGAACTATTGTTGAAGGCTATGATTGTCACATAAAGCTAAATCGGCGGTCAAAATTAGGGGAAGTTCTCTAGAATGGGATCACTGGTCCAAAAAATTAGCTGAATGAAATAAACATGATTGGTGAAAGACGTGAAATATTGATTGGAGAAGTGTAAATTACACTAAGGGGTATCATTTCTATAATCCTATGTAATTTTTATAAAAGTAAATTACTCAAGGGCATAGTTGTCATGGTGTATGCGACATCCATGGCGATGCACTGACGCATTTATGGAGTCGCCAAATGACAAAAATAAAATAACTAAAAATATGAACTATAGAGTATAGACACTATAATTCTATCACTCAACCACCAAAACATGATAAAAAAGTTGAATATCAGCATTCTAACAAAAACATGTAAAGTTAAAATATTTAAAGTAGTTCCAAAAAATATAATACTAACTCCATATTTAAAAGATCCCTACACTTTCCTTTTTGGGATGTGTTTAAAGTTCCCTACACTTTCCCTTTTTGGTAAGTATTTCCTTTAAAAATACTCAATTACCCTTACTTTTTCTACTTTTTATCCTCTCTTTCCTACTTTTTTACCTTTTCTCCTACTTTTTCTATACTATTCATTACCCTTACTATTCTCCCTTAAATGTTGTGCCATAACCAAACGTAGCCATCTTTTAAATACGGAGGGAGTATTCTAAAAACGTTTTATGTCTTTCAAAATATGTCAATTTGTTTTTGTTTGATGATTATGCCATAATCGTCATCAATTATCACTCCTCATCATCATCTTGCAGGTTTTCCCTTAAGTCGTTCCCTGTTGCGCAGCTATCAGACTCTAGCTTTTAAGTTAGTTCAGCAGCTTTCTCTGACTTTAGTTGTATCTTTATTTACTTTTTATTAGGGTTTTTGTCAATAAAATGGGCAGACACATTAATTTCTTATTAGGGTTTTATTAATATTATGGACTGGCAGATTATTTGAATAACTATCAGGGCCAAAGTCCAAAAACAACAAAGTAAACATGTTCAGATCTGTTTAATATTATGGCGCACATGCCATGGTGATGGTGATGGCGCCAATATGGCGCCGCCATGTGTATGGTCACCACCGGGAGGACGTTTCATGGCGATGGAGGGTTTTGTTGCCATATGGCGCATGCGCCATTTCTCGCCATCGACAACCATGCTTAAGGACAATTTCAGCACAAGATGACTACAATGAATTGGTTGGAATGCAAAAAGCTAAAGATCATAAGTTTTTGCTACAAATGATTTTCTCCATCTTCGGCCCACATCATCCTTACATCCAATTATCAAATGAGGCTAATGCTACAATAGAGTTGGATTTGAGGGGTTTAAGTCCATCATGAGCTAAACTGGTCTGCCAAACTAAGCCAAAGTCTCTATATCCAAGGCAAGCAAATTCTTAACTTCCTCAAACAGGATTTGTCTTTGCATAGGATAACTAGGGGAGTTTTAGAACTACATTATTTCCATTGAGCGCGCCCTCTAAACTGAACTGTCTCATTAGAAGCAATCAAAATGCGGCTTTTACTGATAAAGATATCAGATCATTACACATCATTTGTTCTTATTAATTAGCTCTATTCCTTTATCATATCCCCCCCCCCCCCCCCCCCCGAAAATAATCTTCTCATTTTCTTTTTTTTTTTAGTTCGATCATAAATAATGTCAATGTTCCTCTAGAAAAGAAATGTTTGCTGGAAGATGATCACTAAAGCATCAAATTCTATTAGATCAAAATAAAGTGAAGCAACTTCCAATTCATCGAAATAACATCACGAAATGTACCCTTTTCTGGGCATTTCAAGCACATGTGACGACGGATGGAACCAAGACAAAGCAATAAATTCTCCACCACGAATGAACGGATCCAACTCCTAAGAATGGGTTCAATTTCACTAAGGTGAACATTCAATTAACCCTCGGGGCATGGGTGTAATAGTGAGAATAAATAAAGTCAATGAGGTTACCTGCTTTCGCAAGGAGTCCCAAGAACTTGGCGGATCCATGTGAATGCCAGCAAAGAATGAGTCGAAACCCAAGTTCGACAGACACTCAGAACCTGCGGTTTGCGTGCGTCGAAGAGATTGTTATGCATAAATTTTAATGGAAATACCGAATTTGAATGCGTAATTTTGATACTCCAGAATTTGGAACTGCTGATGGCCTGAGGGCTGAGGCGAACGTAAAAAAAAGGAAAGAAATTGAACTAACCCCATTAATTTACCCTACATGCACAATATTTACCACCTGCAATATTTACAGTTTACTCCGTGGAACTAATACCTGTAATACCTCCCTTTCAACTTAGAGTTCTCTTTACAAAATGACAATTATAGGATAACTAAATAAGGTATTTGAGTATATTTTGAAAAATAATTTTGATAATTATATATTGTAATGAGGTTATTAATTGTAATTGTAATATTGCTTTTACTCGGAACTTCTCTCTCCAGGGTTACCTCCGGTAACGCCTAGGCTCGGTTCGTCCGTCATCGGCTTTGCCGAGGGGGGTGTAGGAATTCTCGGGCTCTTGGGTGGAGTCTCGTCTCTCTCTATTTTGATTTCTTGGCTTTGGGAAGGAATTCCAGTCGTAGTAATACGACTGAGTTTGGCAATTGGAAAGGCTTCGCTGCTGAGAGGAGAGGCGTTGGTTTCGGCGCTGAGAGGAGAGGTGCTGGTTTCGGTACTTCGTCGATTGCGAGGGAGCTTCGACTACGGCAGCGGTTTCGGCAGGAAGACAAGTCAGCGAATTTGAATGGAAAGCTTCGTGGACAAGTCAAAAAGATGGTGATTGGGGTAAAAGAAGATTGGATCTGGACGAGTTCGATACAGAGGAGGTACCGGTGGAGGAGAACAGCCCGGGGTTTCTGGTGGTGGGAGTGCTGTTGACAGACAGGAAGGTCAGATTTCCAGCTCTCGTGGAACTCATGTCCTTGCTATGGAGGCTGGGGAAAGGAATTTTGATCAAAGAAGTTGGTGAAAAAAGGTACATTTTTACTTTATCATCATGTTGATATGAATTGTGTGCTTGATGGAGGTCCATGGCAATTTGAGCGCAATCTGTTGTTGTTGAAAGAGGTTAAATCTGATGATATTCTGCATAAGATTGTTTTAAATGAGTCTGATTTTTGGTTTGAAATCCATAATGTTCCCTATAGCCTAGTAAACCTACGTACTGCAAGACGGGTTAGAAATTTTATTGGAAAATTTATAAAATATGATGATAATCATAATAGTGAGAAGTGGGAGTCTTATATGAGAATCAGGGTGTGCATGAACGTAGATAAACCTCTGAAAAAGGGAACCAATCTGAAGAAAGAAGGAAAGAGTTATTGGGCGGACTTCAAGTATGAGAAGTTGCCCAATTTCTGTTTCATATGCGGTTTAATTGGGCATTCAGATAAATTTTGCTCGTTAAACTTTGAAGAAGATCTAGTTCTGGGGAAAAAAATTGGGGTCCAGCTTAGAGCAGGTTGCGGGGTGAAGACAAGTCCCACAGGAGGAAGTAAGTGGCTACTGGAGGGTTCATTGAGCTCTGGCAGAGACCGCGGGTATGTAGGGGATAACAAGTCCGATGGCAGGCTGGATGGAGGGGGGAAAGAGTCTATTTCAGAATCAACGCAGAGTATAACTAAAGGCGTGGGAGCGGAAACGAAGGAGGAAACATCAGGGGAACAAAAGAGAAGAATGATTCGGGTCGCCCAGAGGGAAGACAAGATTGGAGAGGATAGCATGGCTCTGGATGGGACAAAAACGGGGAAGGGGCGGGCTTCAACCAGTAGATCTGCCTAAGAAGATTTGGGTGCTCGTGCAGTTCGGCAAGCTCGGACAGCAGTTCGAGTTTATCTGCTTTACTTTTTCATGTTATGACAATTTATTTTGTTTTGTGGTCTATTTTGTTGTTGTTTTTCCTGCTTGTAAGATGGTGGATTTGGATATGGGTGATTGAAGGATAGAGGTAACCGTCTTTGGCTCTTTTGTGCCTGTTAATGATCAACGAGTTATATTGCTTATGTTGAGGTGATTAACTCTGAGTCTGGTTCGCGGAACGGCGGTTGTCAGGAATCTTTTTGTCGGATTACCTGTTATTTGAATGATGTGTTATCAATTTAAGCCTATTTATTCCAAAAAAATGATAATTGTAATATTGTAAATATATTATTTTTAATATTTGATAATCAAAATGTCATTTAAGAGCGGTTGTTATTTTCCAAAATAGAAATAGAAACTTTCAACTAGAACGTTCAAAAAAAGAAAACGGAAACATTAAACGGGGACGAAGGGAGCAGTGTGTTAACAATAATAAGGTATCATCATTCATGCGATTGAAGTTCTATTACTTTTCAATCCAAAAGGTGGAATGCCTACTCTAGACATCTACACTCCATCTCGACAGGATGATGATGAGTAAATATTGGTACGAAACCAGATCGATGGAGTATATTTTTATATACCTCAAGGATCAAGATAATGCATTAACGAACATCCGTAATAGAATAAGGTAACATCAATAGGCCAAGGTCGAGCTCACTCCTCGAGTCGTGATTGAGGTCAAACCGAGTTCTCGGGTCAATGAAAGAACTTCATAACTGCAGTCAAGGCCGAGCATGCAACCAAAGCCAAGGACAAGGACAACATGGTTTCCAGATTAGCGAGATAACTCTGAAACAATCGAGGTTGAGCTCATTACGCTCGAGCTGAGCGTCGTTTGCACCTGAGTTGAGCATCATTACACCTAAACTGCATCGCTACTCCAGACTTGAGCACCATCGTGCACCCGAGCTCAGCAAGTTTACTCCCCAAGTCAAGCAGAGCCGAGCTTGAGACATGGCACAAGTATCTATATTTAGACATTTGGCACAAACTGTTGGGTTTCGGGCAAAAAACGTAGCGGAAAACAAAAAAAAACTCTGCCTAAAAGTAAGCAACTGTATCACGCCTCGGGCTGGCCGGAAGTGCTAACAATCGTCGCACAATCCGACTTAGGTAACCGCAGTCTACCTCACTCGAACCATGCAAGACGTACATGAATACCATTCACACAAGTACATCCATAAACAATCGTAAGTAAAGTATTTCAAAATACGCAGCGGATAACAAATACATTTTTTTAGTCAAAGGCCATACAGGGCAAACATGAGCATACAGGCTCCTAAATCATCATTTATAGCTTAAAATAGCCCCATGAGCATCATTTTACTTATATCAAAATAGAAATGGAAGAAGCATGAACCACGTCTTCTCTCCATAAATCACCCGAAGCAAAGGGAACAGGAAGCAAGCTCTAGCTTCTACCTGAAAACTGTGAGGTGGGCTTCCCCGTGAAGGGGACATTACTTTGAAGCATTTGAAAAGTACAATGACAACTATAAGGCATATAATCCATGTTTCAAACACAAGACCTCAACATAGGATAATACTAGATTATGGTCATAACCAAGAGCTACCCCATTTCAAATCATGTGTATAGTATATATACCAATCAAATAGGTGGCCCATAGGCCTATTTGTATTTCAAAACAATTCCCTTTAAATAGCCCTTGGCCTGTACTTGCATATAGCAACTTCGAGAGGTTACATCACCCATAGTCTAAAGCCAATTCCATCTAGAGGGTCACACATTTTATCCCTTTTACTCATCCATGTTGGACTTACACACCCTATGGTTGTATTCATTCATTTTTGGCTTGCGCACCCAATATAATATCTTTGATTTGTTTATTGCTTACACATCCCGTACAACGCTTTATTCATTTAGGTCTTACAAACCACGTATAATACTTTATTCGTTTTGGGCATACACACCCCGTATAATGCTTTATTCATTTAGGACTTACACACCATGTATATAATCTTAGTTCGTGTAGGGCTTACACACCCCGAATATAATCTTCATTCGACTAGAGCTTACACACCCTGAATATATCTCTCCAACGTTCATATCTTTGTTTGATCGTGGCTTCAACCACCACCATACCCATTGAGTTCCAGTAATCATCATAATTTATCAACCTCGGGCTAGTCTTCTTCATCAAGACTCTCCAAGCTGCCATCATATAGTTTTAGGTAGACTCCTTAATTTATTTATTTTCAATTTTTTTTATCTTTTCGGGTTGGGTTGGGTATTTTGGGCCTTTTGGGGTGATTTGGGGGTTGGTGTGGGGTGGGGTGGGGGGGGGGGGGTTAATTAGGAAAAGGAAAAAAATTTGACCCAAGGCCCGGCCCAGACCGGACCCTGTGGCTACCCAGGCCGGTCCCGAGCCTCCTTCAAAAAACCCAAGGCCCGACCGGGCCTAGGCTCGGGCCCAACCCAGCCCGGGTCCATGACTGCCTGCAACATTGGGCTGTCTTCAAGCTCCCCCCCCCCCCTACAACCTCTTGCTCACCTCCTGCAGTGGCGACATCTTCCTTCACCAACGACAACTATATTTCTCTTTCAAGACACGCTCTGTCGTGCTAAGATTGTCTCATCATTCATTTTCAGTCTGTCACACTAAAATTTTCTCATACTAAATTTGATAAAAAAAATTGTGGTTCGAAATCATTTTTACTTTAATCATTGATTTATCAAATCAACATCAACCACATAAACTCACTACTCTTAACTCTTAAGTCTTAATAACCATTCTCATCTTCATGTCTCAATGTTAGCAGGACCAAGATAGTAATATTTAAAGGGAGTCCCAAAAAGAAGAACTATTATATCAGTGGCAGACTGGCAGTGTGGTACTGGTACCTTGCCAAAGCAACTGTCCCTTACCAGCACAAGTAATGTCGGAGTTTGGCCTCCTTTTGGAAGTTTTTCAGCTTAACAAAGAACAAGGTACACCGTAGTACCGTACACCGTCCACGCAAGAACGCAACGGTATATATCATTGATCAAACCCACAAATTGTACCGTAGTAAATATTATAATCTCCTTTACGAATGTCAGTTTTTTTAAGTTACGAATGACAATTGTAGTCCACAACCCATGAATATAAATAAAGTTGATTTAGGAATTGAAGGGCTAATATCCCCCCACCCCCCCACTACCACCCTCTCAAGGTCAGACTAAAGGAGTAAAGGTTTTTAAAGATCAAATCAAAGTAGGACAGAACGATCAAGGAAATCATCATCTCAAAAATTGTTATGTATACATATATACACACACATAGAATAAAGCGCTGCTTAAACACCAAAATATTTGCTTAATCCAAATCCATGCTGCTACACTTTTCTGGTCTGGTAGTCCCAGTGTCATCCCCGTTACGGCCGTTAGTCTCAGTTGGTTCTTCCATGGCAACTTCCACAACTCCGTTTGCTTTAGAGTCACCCCTCTCAAATTGAGATCCAGAATCTACTTTCGAAAGGTAATTGTTTCCCTCGCCAGCAGGAGGCGTAGATGATGGATTTGGTTCCCCGGCTTTTGGCATACTAGTGGCATGTTGATGGGTTAAGGTGGCATCTGGATTATTGGGAGATAACTGCGGTGAAGAAGAGGAAAATGAAAGTATTTGGTTCATCTCGCGGTTTATGTTCTGAAACAGATCAAGATTCTTTCTCATCCCAACATTTGCTGTTTGGTTTGCTGCATATTCGGCTATTGAATCTTCAACATTTTCAGAAAGAACCTTGCACATCTTTTTTAAAATAACTTAATATTAGTTCCTACAGAATAGCTTCCTTTAAATAATACTCGTCCTAAATAACGAAAAAAAGTCTTGTTTCATATCATTTGTTGTCCACAAAAAGAGTCATGTTTGATCAAAACAATTTTACTTTTCATGTGATATTCCCAAATCAAAAGTTACAGAGTAGTTACTTATGACAAATTTTGTAAACCAAGAAAGAAACATACGAATCTAATGAGCAATTGTAAAGAACCTTGCATATGTTCAGAAAAAATTTCAACAGGTATCAGTAGTTGAAAGATTTATTTACCTCATTATAAAGCTTAGCCACACCCAAACGGTCTGGTTTATTATCACAAGCAGCTTCTGACACTTCATGCGGAGCTGGAAGAAATGTTATAGAAAAAAACAGTAAATTACAACAACAAACAATACTCCCCCCATCCCTTATGTTTGCCCCATTTTTCCTAATTGGTCATGTGTGTTTGCCTCAAAATCATTATGCTTTCTATTTTTAATAGTCTAACCACACAATTCCATTTCCCTTAATTTTGTGCCACTACAACTAGCTCCAGACTTAGTGAGATAGGGGGAGTAATAATATTGACGCGCCAACAAAAGTTCACATGTGTTAGCAGTCCTGCTGTTAGCCGGTTACAGTGCATGAATGAATTCCCAATCAACAGATGCTGAAAACATACAGAGGCACAAGGCTATACTTACAAACCCCAATAATCTTCGGCAAATGATCAAAAACTTCATTATCAGAATCTGTATTTAGATTTGGTCCATCTACAACCTTGGATTCAAACTCATTCTCATCATTAGGCAACTCACTTGACCTCTCATACCCCTGTGAAGAGACAGATGGGGGGGGCATTTGATATGAGCAAACAGATATCCATGAGTAAGCCACATAACTGAAAAGAGAAAAACAATTACATACAACCAACGCGAACAGATTCAGCAAGGCTCAAATTGGAAATCTGAAGGATGTCATTTTATGAACTTATGAAATCGCTATATTTTGGGGGTGACTGCTCAGTGGTAAAAGAAAACTTGTTAAACAACCATTCATGCACAGATACTCTTAGTAATTATGCATGCCAAGGAGCTGAAGCATCTTCAGCTGCTCCATCCAAGCTTGTAACACACTAAAACATCCTAAGAAGCAAGAGCTTCTTAAAATTATACTTCCATATTAATGGTTTAATAACTAATTGGAATTGCATGTCTGTTTAAGATAAACTAAGACAAACAATCCAAAAAATCATTGATATATTCGTATTGAATAAAGTAGACACTCCACCAAATAAGATCACAAAATTATTTCATGACAAGTGACATAAAAGTGGGACTTACATAGGCTTCTTTGGCGTATTCTGCATTAAGAGCTTTCTCTAGAAGCAGCACCCTTTTCTTAATAAACTCAACCTGTCTTCTTTGAATTTCTCTAAAATGGTGTAAAAAGGAAGAATCTTGGAAATTCTGTGTTCGGTTGGAAGGATCATTTGATCCTGTACCACCAAATTCAGCTCCAAGATCATTTCTGCTAGCACATCCATGTGCTTGATTAATAGTACTTCCAGCATCAGCTTTATTTTCACCATTTGATGTTTGTGCTTGGGAGATTCCTGTACCAGGAACTTGTGGTTGTGAGGTTCCAGGGGTAATAACTGGCTGCTGAGAAGTCCCAGGTACAGGCAAAGTCATAAAAGGGATATTTATCTCCTTGCAAATGAGCTCTTGAATCTTTAACTCCTTGTCATCAACAATGGATTGCCATTTTCCATAACCATGCCTTCATGTGGAGCAATATATAGGACAAAAAAACAAAATAAGGATAGGTCTTCAACTGATGATTATAATTCAAGTGATATATACAGGTTTAGAGATAGCACCCAAGACTACAACAGACATATTATCTGCCACTCGATTTACTACTAGATTACTGATGCCCCACCAAATAGGAATTTAGAGAAGAAATTTTAGACATAATCATCATGGAATCCAAGCTGTTAGTGGGGGTGAATTCTGGGGTGGAGTAATGTTAAGAACTCCATTTACTATGGTTATGTAGGGAACGTGGTAAATGATATGGATATAAAAAGGCTAAAAAAATAATATTATACTAGTACTAGTATGTTTTATTTAACCTGTAGAATACGGAGGATGTGCTTAGAACTTTTTAAAATCTTACATGTATTTATAAATCTTAGTCTCTATGTAATAGAAATATATAAATAGAATGAGTTAGAACAAATATGTGAACTGTAAAATTGATTTCATAAATTTGACCTATCTTCTTATGCCGCCGCTACCCCCCCCCCCCCCCCCCCCCGAATTGCTCCTTTCTTTTCTTGCCTATTTCCTTTCACTAAAAGGTAAAATGTTTTACATATCCCAAACAGGCCCCAAATGAGCTCAATATCTATTCTTAAACCAATCCAGCAGATGACCCTGATTTAGGCAAAGCAAAATTCATGTCTTAGATAAAGAATCATGTAGTAGAAAATAAACTAGCTGTTTGGCTAAACTAGGCAGCAGCTCAGGACCCATTCATTACAAATACTCAGAAGCAGTTGTAATGTCCTATGTTTACCTAAAGACAGTCTCTACAATAGCTCTCACAGTCTCACCCTTTTTGTTCATTCAACAATATTTCAAAAACTACGAACTTATTGAATGAAAGTTGATGGGGATATGCAAGTGATCATGAAAGATATGGTAGTAAGACTTCACTTCAGTACTGCTTGCAGTAGTAACAAATCATGATCTTCCTTCCACAGTTTTGCACCCTTAAGTCCAGGAAAGCGAGATACTATGTCCTCTGTGAAAAGTGGACAGCTCGGCTTTTCAGATGCAGCCTTGACCTGCAATTCCACCGACAAGTATGTTGCTCCAAGGTTAAATATATAAATACTAAAACTGAAACTGAAATAAAAACTGTATGCTTTAGAGCAAGGATCAAAACTCAAAACCACTCATATTCCTGTTTTAAATAGTACTACCTCTATCCCGCTAAGATTGTCCCGTTTTACCATTTCGGTTCGTCCCACTAAGATTGTCCCATATCAAATTTGGCAAAGTTTGTGTGGCTCTAAATCATTCTTACTTTATTCTTACTTTATCAATTCAATATCAACCACATAAACCACTTTTTATTAATTTGCGTGTCACTCCCTCTTGTCCCATTGTTAGTGGGACAGAGGAAGTATATCACAGTTTGCTTCAAGGTGAGCTCAAAAAAGTAACCATGTTAATTGCATTAAAGAGGTATGTTCAAGAGGAGCAAGAAGCACATCTTTGGAAATAGTATTATTGGCTACTACCATCAGACTCAACTTAATGGGAAAACTGCACTTTTGGTTCCTCACTTTTGGTTCATCAGATTGTAAATGTCACCCCCGAATTGACAGATGTGTTGTAAATGTCATCTCTGCCGTTTATAATCCATCTCCAATTATGGACTACCAAAAAAATTACAATCTCAGAAACTCGGGTCTAACATTTCAATATGGTGACTAGTTGAGGGACCAAAAGTGTGATTTTCCCTATTGGACTGAAACATCTAAAAGCTATGCAACAATTGCCATAAGTTTGTCGTTAACGTTTCCAAAATCTTAGTAGATAGTTACTTCTCCTACTGCCAACTGGTTCTCAAAACTACTACTGAAATAGTTTTACAACAACTGGTGTTAGAGTAATGATAATTGATAAGAAGACATTAAATGTGAAGCATGTTTAACTTCACTGCCCTATGAATGTGTGATATATATGAATGTCTCCCTAGAATGTCTATACCAAATATCGGCCCTACAAGCTATATTTTAAAATTGTTTTAGTTTGTTGCAAAACACGGTAAAATGCTTCATGTGCCTCAATGACTATATGACTATATACAAATGTCCTTCAATGGAGCAGTGATTTAATGCTTAATTAGTTTCACAGTTTTCACCTCTTAGTGATGCGGCAATTGTACTAATAATGTTTTTACCCTTCCCCATTATCAAACCTATACTGATTTATACTTAGAAAAATAACATTAAAAGTCGGATCATTATGAGGCACACAGCACATGCAAATGAAAAAAAATAATGATGTTGGACTAAAGTTGTTGTTAGCTGACCTCAAACTCTTTGGGACTAAGACTTGGATGTTGTTGTTGAATGTTGGATTAAAATCAGCATATTGGGATAAATCTATAGTCCTTTATCGCATTTCATTTTCTTTCTTCAAAGTTCAAACTAATGTTGACACAAACATGTGAAGTATTATATAGAGTGATGTATTCTAGTTGAATCACTGTTTTTTAATAAAAATTTATCCTCCACAAAGAAAGAAGAGAAGAACCACCATGATAAGAGCTGATTATAGTCATTATACCACTTATCAGGATATGCAATAGCGAGGAACTTGTTAAGATCCGGGGTTCCATCCTAAAAGGTCAACCTGATAGGAGGAGTAGCTCAGATCTTTATAAAGCGTTTAATTGTTTAAGAGATATCCGGTGTGGGACAACAACACCCCTCCCCACGACCAAACACTTCGTCTGGATCGTGCCGTCATTCATTTTTCATCGGTTCTTCATTGTCATTTTTTAATTGTGTCATCATTTTTATAGGGGGTCATACCATGGATCGATTTGGCTTTGATACCATGTTAAGATTCGGGGTTTCATCCAAGGTCAACCTTAATGGAGGAGTAGCCCAGATCTTAATATGGCGTTTAATTGTTTAAGAGATATCCGGTGTAGGACAACAACAACAACAACAACAACAGAACTGAGATCACTATATCTCACTGTATCAGTTGAATTAATAATTTCTTTCTCATAAGCCGACCCCAAAATCTTTTGGGAATAAGGCTTGGATGTTGTTGTATAAATATACTTACTTTGTCCCTCACAAGAAGTAGTTCTGCAATCCTCACAAGTACGTCTTGTATTCTCAATCCCTCTTTTGGAACACCATCTGTATACATTTAAATCAGATAAGGCCGATAGAAAGTAAGAGTGAAAAAATAAATGGCGTAAGTAAAAAGTAAGAACAAAAGAGATGTGGCCAGATAAAAGTTATTACCTGAAAACGTGGGAGACTCAGTAAGATCCTCAGCGATGTGAGATAAAAAGAGGCGTCCATAACTATTATTTTGGAAAAATAAAGCACTGGGTTAATGCATATATTCATTGACATTTTTTGGTTAAACAAAAATAACTGGGAAAAGATTGATAGACACTTTTATATAATTAATGCAACTACGAATCTAAATATCTAACAATATGAGTTTGTCAGTGAGACTGTATTAAGAAATTACATAGCAATGATTCAATTGTCCCTGTAAAATACAAACAAATATCACAGCCTTTTGAAGTGTACAAGACAAAAGGATTGTCAGAGCCCAAAAAGGATGCAAAAGATATTTTAGTCCAGCTTAAGAGAAAGGAAAACAAATTTTACGAAGCGCAAGTGCGCAACACAAGATATAACATATCCACAATTTTACGAAGGGCTAAAAAAGGCATGCTTAAAGGAAAAGTACTCTAATACTTTTTAATTTCTTCATAAGTTTTCTGCTTAAGACGTGGTGTGAATTCTGCCCAGTCAAACTCTCCAACACCAAATCTGCAAAGTACAGGTGAAATTTAGACATTGTCAGGCATGAAATGAAAATGTAATGAGCTGTAACAGTGCTGTCTATCCAAGTTTTAAGAGTGAAAGTACATAAGTAAAAGAACCACTTATACATGATGGTAGGACCAAAAAAACACATATGACATTAAAGGTTTATGAATCAAAACCTCATTAAAATTTGGACAAATGCTGTCCTTTGACTCTGATTGAATCCCAATACCCTGAATGACCGGCCTTCACCTTCCATCAAAGGAAGTGGTTCTGATGTGTCCACTGATCAATGTTGACAGTATTTCTTTTAGATATCATATTTATTAAATTTAATACAAAGAACGTGTATCCTGTCATACCACGTGCTCTTTTCCTAATAGGTTTTTTCATGGCTGGGACTCCAGTTGAAGCTGTCTCACCATCAGTTGAGTCAGCTTCATAGTTATCATCTTCTCCATCAGAGCTCACATCTTCCAGACCGGCAAGGTCATCTTCCTCAACCGACACCATCTAGAAATTTCAAAAAATAGAAATTGAACAAAAACATGTCCTAAATTCAAACCCGAAGTGGTAAAGGAGTATTGAGAAGTTAGTAAGAGTAACATGCAGAAATTGCAGCCTTGATACGCAACTACATCTAAAGAAAAAGACAAATTAATAGTAACATTAAACAAGCGCAAGAAGAAGTGAAATATTCAAACATTTCCTCTGAGAAATGTTTATCGTGTTGCTTCTGCCAACCAGAAGTGAAGTTTAGAAACAGCCCTGTAGAAACAAATCTAGCATTTCTTGGTCTAGAAGTGAGTGATTAAAAGTTTAAGAAAACAGGTGTCCATAGATTGAAAGACCAAACCTGTTTACGACTTCTCTTCCCCTTTCCCATTGCATTAAGCTCTTCAACCTTATGAACCTCATATCTGTCTCGCAGCAATTCCTCCCAGAAACTTGCCCTTTCTGAATTGTTTAAAGCTGCTTTATCCTCCACGGGAGATGTTGGAACTTCCTCTTCAGCTTTTGCTTCTGCTTCATCTATGTATTCAAAGTTCGCAACCTAAAGCATTCAATATATCAGCATTTTCAAAAAAATGCATGAACTAATTAAAATCGAAATGAAAAAACTATTCAAAAGATGAGTTGCGAACGCTCATTTTCCAGAGTCGCCATAGCACCATTTCAACGTGATGCGATGAGATAGTATAGCTGTATAGGTAATCACGGATTAACGGGTCAAGGCATCCCTCTTTAAGGAAGCAGACAGAAATACAATACCAAGCAAGCATTTAAATCTGAACCACATGATATGGATGGAACACCAATCAGTTCCAAATTCAGGGGGAAATGTAGTTGGAACACTGTCCCTGTACTTATCATGCTATTATTAATCAAACAGGCAGTGAAAGGTGAATGCAAAGCCACATCAATCATCCTGTTAGATTGACATAAAGTTATGTTTTCTAATCGGCGAGTAACCGGCAAACCGCCAAGTACTCGGTGAGTACTCACTGCTCGGGGTAACACCTTGTCGAGCAGGTTACTGACTTAGTTCATTTCAAGGTTCTGAGTTAACCGATGAGTACTCAGCTGATCAGCTCGCGACTTGGTGACTCAGATTACACGCTGATTAACTCGGTTGGCTAATATTGAATTCTTTTTTGTTAGATCTGCAAGTTGGAAACCAAAGTGAGATACTATGAAATTTAAAAATAATTAGGTACTTTATTAAAGTAAATCAAAATATTAATTGTTCCCCAAGATCATTTCACAGATTTTTTTAAACGCATTCTACTCTCTGCGAATTCTTCTTCTATGTCTGTTTCTATTCTTGCTTCTTCTTCTTCTTTGTGCACTTATTCTTCCCCAAAATCTTAAACCTTAATTGTTTGTGGATTATTATTTGTTAAATTGTATATTAGATGTATAAGGCTAATATATTACTAGAACTTTGTTGCATATTATACATTTATAATTTTATTAATATAGACCTGAGTAATCATCTAGTAATCCCGAGTAACCGGACCTAATCGCTACTCGGCCATTGACCGAGTTGCCACCAAGTAACGATATAACTACTTTGACATCAAGAACGCTATGCAAATGTTATTTGCACTGTTTTATGACACATACTAGATTCAGACTTTTAGGCTTTTGGCAGCCTAATATAAGGATGTCAACATGAAACGCCTATTCGTTCTACCTCCAAGTTGCTCAGCTGTAAACTAGGGCCGCTATTACCGTGCAAATTGGTAATATGTCTAGGTTGGACCTGCAATTCAAATCGCTGTACTATGGAAACAGAAAGAGACAAAGTTCAACTCTGCTGTATCTTCATGTTTCAGGCTCCAGAAACATCATGTCGTACGCCAAGCTAATTCGGAAAGGGAAAAAAGGGAACAAATTCCTGCTGGAGGGGGGAAATTAGCTAATAAAGAGAGCATATATGAAATAAACCTTAAAAGCCTTCAAAAAGGTGTCTTCTTGTTCATCATCTAAGACAGTTTCCTCATCTACAGCTTGTTCACGGTTTAGTAATCTGAGGTTCAAACAGTTAAAATGCTGAAAACATAATATCACTTCTTTTATAAAAGCGAAGGTAAGTTAAACAGATAACTAGAAGAAAAGTACTCCCTTCATCCCCTAAACTTTGCCAAGGTTGACTGGCACAGGGAATAATAAAGTAAAAAGTGTGTGATTGACCGATGAACTCTAAATGTAAAAAGTGTGCAGTTGAGGTTTATACAGAGGAGAGAGAAATAATAGGAACCTCGAATTAATTGATTAAAATAGAAAGTGACAAAGTTTTTGGGACAATAAAAAAAAGGATTTATGGCAAAGCTATAAAGAACGGAGGGAATACTTTTTTAAGACACACCATGCATTTGAAGGAAAGAAGATTAACCTATTTATAGCAGATTCATCATAGTGGATTTGTTTTGACTTTCCTGCTTCATCGGTGTCATCAGTAAATAACTCTTTTGAACCATATCTAATGATATCATTAAGTTCTTCCTGCATTAAGATTTTGATTACCATAATTAATTTTAGAGCATCAAGCTAATCCCAAAAATGGTATTGCTCAAGTACATGCGAGCTAAGTACTACAAGGTAATGTGTTAAAAAATACCTCATATACTGTATTTTTTCCTCTTAAACTATGGTAAAAGTATTGAGCCAAATAACTACACCACACAATAAAATAAAACACTAATACTTTCTTGAACTATGATGCAAAACAACACATTGCAGTCACTAGACACTAAAAACAAGGTATTCCTCATTTCAGCTAATGCAAAAAATAAACCGGAGTAAGCTGCAAAACTACAGGTAACATGTTGAATTAGTTCTGCTCTAAATGTTAAGAATCAAATTATACAATGAGAAATTTTGAATCGCTTGAGGCCAGAGATAAGGAATGATATACACTAGACACTAGACACTAAAAACAAGGTATTCCTCATTTCAGCTAATGCAAAAAATAAACCGGAGTAAGCTGCAAAAATACAGGTAGCATGTTGAATTAGTTCTGCTCTAAATGTTAAGAATCAAATTATACAATGAGAAATTTTGAATCGCTTGAGGCCAGAGATAAGGAATGATATAGAAGGTTTGATTAAACCTAAATTAGATGGTAAGCCTATGGAGATGATACATTGCAAGCCATACATGGGTAAATACTGGAATCAATACAACATCCAAGCCTTATTCCCAAAAGATGTTGGGGTAAGCTAACATGAATCGATCCATGAAATCAAAGCCAAAAGGAGAAGAAAGGTAAGATAAAAATGGATCAGATAAAGATTAATATAAGATAAAAATAACATAAGAACATAAGAAAGATAAAAGATAAAAAGATAAAAGAACACAAGAAACATAAAAGATAAAAATAACATAAGAGCATAGAAAGATAAAAAAGATAAAAGAAAAGGAGAGAGAAAAGAGATCAATCGTCCACACGAATATGTGTCATCCACTTTGCTCTCTTCAATGTCATACTCTCATCCAACCCAAGAAGAAGCTTATCAGTTCTAATTTCTCTAATCCAAATCTGTTTGGGTCGTCCTCTCCCTCTCCTCCCAGCCTCTTCTCCCCACCTCTCAACTCATCTAACAGGTGCATCAATCGGTCCTCTACGCACATGACCAAACCACCGCAATCGAGACTCCTACATCTTAGGTGCTACTCCCTCCTATATCATTCCTCAAGCGGTCTTTTCTGGTATATGAACACATCCAATGCAACATACGCATCTCTGTCACAATCTTTTGAATGTGACATTGTTTCACCGCCCAACACTAAATATTGGAATCAATAAAATAATGAATTTGTTCCAACTTTCGAGCAATGAACTTTTATCAGAGCATTACCTGGTTGATATTTTGAGCTTTGAGTCTCCCAACAACTAGATGCTCCAAAACCATTTTTTTCTTGGTCATCTCCATCATCCTCTCTTCAATAGTTCCTCTTGTAATGAGTCTGTATATCAGCACCTGAAATAACATAAATAAACAAATAAATCCACAGATCTGAGAAAGAAATCAATAAATTTTGTAAAAGTAAAGATATGCATGTGTTTAACCTTGTTTGTTTGCCCCAACCTATGAGCTCTAGCCATTGCTTGTAGATCAGCATGAGGATTCCAATCACTGAAAAAGAACCCACTTGATTAATATATATGTTAATCCAACGATTAACCATTAAAAACATAGCATCTAAAAGGCATTAAGACCTATAAGATCAAATAATTCATCTAGTGTTAGGTCATATTGTGTATTGGCCACCAGATCAGGTCCTCAAAATTCAGAATGCAAACTCGTATGAACTCTGGAGTTCTTATTTAATACTCCCTCCACCGCAAAACTTAAAAGTGTAATTCTACGATACAAATACTAAAGAGAAACAAATATCGCAACTTCTTCGTGTCAATAGCATGTCAAATAAGTTACTCCATCTATCTTACATGGCCAACACCACAAGCTGTATGATGTATGAAAAAACATAATACGTTTCTGAAAATACCTGTCATATATAAACACTGTATCAGCAGTAGCAAGGTTAATTCCTAAACCCCCAGCTCTAGTTGACAGCAGAAAACAAAATCTGGAAGAATTCTTAGCATTAAATCTATCAATTCGAACTTGTCGTTCGGCTCCACCAACTTTTCCATCAATGCGTTCATATTGCCAATTCTGATGAAAATGAAAGGTATCAAGACCTAATTTCTGGATATCGAAACGAACAGTAAATCACACTTTGAAGTTCTAGATAATCCAAAGAAAGTATAAATACCCTAAAGTTGCAATAATCTTCTAATAAGTCCAGCATATGCTGGAACTGTGAATACACCAAAACTCTGTGCCCTTGCTCTTTAAGCTTCACCATCATCTTATCGAGAAGTTGCAATTTGCCAGAAGATTCAAGAAGCTGCCTGTTATACAAGTGCAAGTACAAGAAATATATATGAAGCTCAATATAAAAAAAACATATAAATTTTATATGTTTTTGCTCCATAAGTGACCCAAAACTGTTTTTGCTCAGCAATCTAATTTGTATAATGAGAAATTACTATTCATACGGGATGGCGGAAATAATATATACTATCAAGCATCTATACTGCTCCCTCCGTCCCGCAAAATTGTTCCCGGTTTCCTTTTTGGGCCGTCCCAAAAAATAGTTCACATTTCCCCTTTTGGAAAGTTTTGTGTGGCTCACATTCATTTACCTTTTTCTTACACAACCATACATTTTCATTTTATTCCCACTTTCTTAAACTTCGATCCAAGTCAATGCGGAAACTATTTCATGGGACGGAGAGAGTATCAAGCATCTCATAAACCCTTGGACAAGGGAAGTTTTCATGATCTATTTTTTAATGAATCTAACTTACTTGGTAAATTCCTTATTATCTTCAGGTTCAACGCCTTCTAGCATAAAAGGGTGACAACAAAGCTTGCGTAGTTCCATCACCACATTTATAAGAGAAATCTGAAGGCATGAACAGGGATTTGATTATATATCAAACATTAATGTACCAGAGCAACTCATAAGAAAAACATATGACTTACTTGTGCACCACCCTTACGAGTAAGTATCTGATAATTCCGTGTCAAAATTGCTTTGTAGTATTCTTTTTGCATAGTACTTAACTCCACACGTAAAATAAGCTCCTTTTTAGGAGGTAATTCTTTCATGACGTCTTTTTTTACCCCTGCAGTTTATCAAGATGTGCTCAGCCACCTATTCAAAGATGTCCTTAAAAAAACAGGAAGCTTACTAAGAACAAAAATATACTTCTGAGTAGATGTGGAGCCAACATCTTGTGAAGCCTTGAGATCTGTTCTTCTTGGCCAATATCCTTGAACTCCTCCTGGAACTCCTCCAAGCTTCCAAACTGCAAAAATTGATGTACAGCATAAAACTTTTGCACAAGCAGTCTATATTATATCAATTATTTGATTTAAGGAGTGGCTGCTTCTGGAAAACTGGGTTGACACTGACCTTTCCCGCATCAAGGAAGTGCATCAGCATGAAAAGTTCATCCAAGTTGTTCTGAAATGAATCGAAGAAAGTACTAGCATAACTCATTAACTCATAACCAAGTCTAAACCGGTTAAAACATCATGATCTTTACTTCGATAATTGAAAGATAAAACAAACTCTACAAATGCCTCAATCTTGCAGCACAGCTAAATCAAATATGAGCATAAATACTGCCAGACAACCAAGAGCACATCACTAAAAAAATCATGGTTAAAAGGGAAATTAGAAACTTGCTTCATACACTTGAGGCTTTGGCCTAAAAGGGTAAGGTGGCAACATTGATTTGCGATTCAAGATCACTAGATGGCACCTAGCAAGAAATTCTTATTCTTCTGCTAGTCCTAATACTTATTACCTCCTAGTGGTGTTTTCTTGAGAACAAACTTAATTATTATTGATTAGAATAACAAGAAAAATATCAATCCGTGATGTTTAAGGCTACAATAGCAGATTGACTGCTCCTACTACCACAAAAGTAATAGTAACTGCTCAAATGACCTACTACTGTCAATACACCAGCCATCGGAATGGGGAAAAAACGACTGTCTCAGCTTTACTATCCACCAGAAAGGAACTACATAGGTTCCTGGTTTTGCCATCAACAGGCAAGGAGGCAAGTGTAATACTATTTCAAGTTTCACCTGCCACTGAAAAGAAATCAATCCACACCATCCTATCTTCCAGGAAAGGTGGTGGTTTGGGAGGTTCCTGAGGCCCAAGAATGAGTATAGAAAGAGACAGATCCATGATTAATAGAGAAATCAGCAAAAACTACATATCAAGATTGATAACCGCCAAAATCCTAGAAAGATCCAAGGGAAGAAATCGCAATTGCATGCTGATTAACAAACCAGATCACCCAAACGAATACAGCAGGGAATAAAGAGTGTACAGGCAGCGAAGAGGATGCTGATTAACCGCCGCCGAGAACAACACCACCACCACCACCCTAATGTCTGGTAGGGTTCAGTGTAAGCTCTTGAAGAGAATGCCAGAGAAAATTATTAACAGTAACCAACTTTCTATTATAGTTAACTCCTGATCCAATGGTGGCCCATCAAGGTCCAATTGTGATGTATTACAACAACAACATCCAAGCCTTAGCTCCTAAATATTTTGGGGTTGGCTAACATGAATCCATACATGATACCGAAACTAAAAGGAAAAGAAAGATAAGAGAGATAAAAAAGATAAGGTATGATAAAAAGACCAATTTTGATGTATTGTTACAAAAGAACTCAACAAGCCATAATTTCTTTTGTGCAAACAAATTGGATCATGAAAATAGCTCAAGTTCAAGAGGTTCACGATTTTGCTACAGGTTGAAGCACCCTGTTGTTTGAGAGGCAGGTGCTCGACTGTTCTTCAAGTAATTTTCTCTATTGAATTTGTGAGAGACTAAGGTGATTCCAATGAAGTTGTTACGTACTCAAGACAGGTCGTGTGAGATCCTGCATCATCAATGGAACCACCGCATGACCTAACTCACTATGATGACAAGTCAAAATCTGTACACTTTTAGCTTCATATTTAATTTGTAAATTCCGAAATAAGATGAGATTTTATGATATTTCACCCTGTCATTAAGAATACTTTCACTTGGACTTGATTCAGTATCAAACCAGACTAAACTTATAAAATAGTAAAATACACCTATACAAGACCTTTACCAGACCAAACTTAAACAGATCACAATATACAAGACTTAACCACATGAAACCAAAAAATTACAAGCGAAAACATCCTAAGTTGGAAAGGTTGATTTACAATGCTCAAACGCAATAAGCATAATCAAGGGGGGGATGTGTAGGGCTTCTCTGTTTTTCAAATTATTTATACAGAACAAAATCTTTTTGCTAAGAATAGAATAATAGAGGACGCTACATATCAAGCAGATAATAAAGAAAACAATGTTAGCAATGTGGTTATATGGATGAGAGATGGCGAAAACTCTATCATATGATGCTGCCATTCTTCACAAATTTCATATGGTGGCTAACACAATATACACCATGGCTGACATATAACGACACTAAAGGAAAAAGATTGTTTACCCTTTATAATTTGATACTAAAGCTATGCCCCATTATTCTCATTTTTTTCATCCGAGTACACTCTAAGATGTTTTCTATTGTAACAAAAAATTATCCCCTCAAGATATCAAATATCTCAGCATTTTTTGTCAAACTCTCCCAAACACATTATAGGAAATAATAGGATTTTAAGTGTACTCTTAACCAATGAAATAAGTTAATATCCTGAGATGAGAGCCACCATAACCATTTTTTCCATAACATCATGTGTTGAACATGTTCACAAACCTGGAGAGGTGTTCCAGTCAAGAGGACACGATGCCTGCTGGAGTACTGCTGCAATGAAGAAAACAATTTTGAATCCTTGTTCTTGAGACGGTGGCCTTCATCAACAACCTAAATATAGATGTAAGCCTCTCAGTGTGGCTCAATGCATGTGTTAAGGTCAAATCTCAGGGTGGCAAAAGACAGTTACCATGCACTCCCACTTTATTGGCTTTAGAGATGTACTATCTAAATTAATCATTTCATATGATGTCAGAAGAACATCAAACTTTATCCTATCTTGCTTGCTTTCACCAAGAACTTGACTTGATTTCTTTTTCTTGATCTTCTTGAGCCTTTTGGGGAAGTAAAATTCATAATCCCTTATAATAGAGCGTGCATTGGATGAACCAACATACATAACCTACACAAGCATATTTTCTTTAGGGTTAATAACAAATAATAATGAAAAGGTATGATGGAACTTATAAGGTATAATGAAACTTCAGCCCATGTCAAAGCATACTCCTTTCAGTTCCTGTTTTCCAGAAAGGCATAACGTTAACCATTATTTTCCCAAAAGAAAGGTGAACTTCCACTTAAAATATCAGCTTTGACTGTTCTGACATGATATTTTAGTTCAATACATATAAAATATAAGAGATGTGTTCCTACGAATATGTAATTTAAGGTGATAGTGTGATACTGGTGAATCTTTTGCTCTTTGACTCTAGGGCTTTATTAGAGGAGGAGAATGTTCAGCTTTTTAACGATATTTATCTTTGACTTCCAGTCAAGTGGTTAAGAAAATACCTTCAAACTGATCATGAAACACATGTGGAAGTTAATGTATAAAACGTGCTATTACTTTTTCAGTTGAAGAGTACTCTTTTATTATGTTTTGAAAATAAATTTTAAAAGAACTTTGTCATCTAACAACTGACAACATTTTTAACAGCAAAAGCCATGTCAACTATTTCACTGAGGATTCCAACGAAGAAGCTAAAAGTGGGCCTTCATAATAACATTTGGACTAAAATTGGTTAAAAACTAATAAAAACTAAATGTGATAAATACATACAACATTCATCTGGGGAGCCCATGTAGCAAATTCACGTTCCCAATTTCTCAAGGTTGAAAGAGGAGCAACAACTAAGTGAGGAGAAACCTTCTCCTTAAAAAGAGATGCTAAGAATGCAATACTCTGTATGGTTTTCCCTGCATTATTACAAGTTCATTGCATTAGAATATTCTAAAGAAACACGTACAGAATTAAGAATTTAATTATGAGGAGTACAGAAAAAAACTCACCAAGGCCCATTTCATCAGCAAGTATCACATGTGTCTGTTTAGACCAAGAATAACGTAGAAAGTTGAGCCCTTCAAGCTGATAAGGGTGCAATGAACCTTGCATTTCATAGCATTGGTGAAATTATAGATAAAGATTTACCGGGAGAAAAAAAAAAAAGATAAAACCAAACAAAACTAAATAGTGACTACCTCCAGAAAGAAATTCAGGACTGCACTCATACTGCTGAAATTCTTTTTGTTTCGACTTTGATTCAGTGGTATCTTGATGGCTTTGTTTGTGTTTTTTTGAACGCCTGGACTGGATTTTGTTAAATCTTTCAATTTCATGCTGAAAAGAACAAATGTCTGATTCGAGTTCCCAACTACATTCATCATACTGAAGTTCCTTCCACTTCACAAAGTACTCTTTGTCCTCATCCTCTCCTCTGTCAAACAGCACAACAAAATGCCCCTCAACACTTGGACAGTTGGACTAAAGTTAAAGATACAAAATATTAAATACAGTATATTCTAGAACACCAGTGTGCCACACCAAAGGTTGGAAAAATGTGAAATAGAAAGTGGAAGATAGTGAAAATCTATCATTTGTCAAAAGTATTTCTACGGAATCCCTAATTTATACGTAGTATTACTTAATATTAAAAGAAAATGTGATATATTCTATAAGGATGTATCTCCATTAGATATTGTTATTACTATGATCCTGAAGTGCATTAAATTAATTTACCCAGACCTAGTTTTTTGACCCATTACTCCATTACCAGTTCTTGCTCTCAAACCTTTATTTCATTATATTCAAATGTATTCCCTTCCCCATCGAGTCTTTTTTAGTTAACCTATGTATCCTTATCTTTAAAACATAGCACACAGTAATAACCACTCTATTGCACAGTTTACTGATATTTGAGAACCAATGTTAAGCTCCTGAGTTACATAAAATTATCTCCATTTTGTCAACTATGAGCACTGATTATTCAATTTCAACCTAACCATGGCATCCACAACCCTTACAGCCTTTGTTATATCCACTGTTAGACCTACAACAACAACAACATCCAGGCCTTATTCCCAAAAGAATTTGGGGTCAGCTAACATGAATAACATATGATATCGGAGTTATCCACGATTAGGCCATGATAGATTATTCTGCTGTAAAGATCACAATAAGTTAGGTACAATCACCTCATTGAGCACTGCAAATGACAAACTCTGGTTGAGAACTTCCTAGATTTGTGAAAAAATTATCTCCACCTAATACTGCTAAACTCACAACTCTAATATCATAATACCAACACACCATTTCATATGAAGCACTCTAAGCATATAATGTGCTCCTCAACCTCCTCTAAAGACACCTAATAAACTGAAAGGAGTCCCATTAAATCAAAATATTTACCGTAATATAAAATGAAAGTTTATCTTTGCTAAATATAGGTTAGTGAGACCTGCAAGCGAGGATGCGGTCAACCGTTGTCCACTCGGGCCGGATAGCAACATATTCTTCTCGGTCAGTTATAGATGACATCTGGCGATGGAAATTGTTCACTTTAGTCTTCAGACGAGGAAGAGTCTTGTAAGCTTTGACAAACTCTTTCTCAGATACCCTGAAATAGCACATTCGTCAGAAACTGCTGCCAAATGTAATTTAACATATTGAACGTGACGAAATCACATCTTAGAAGGATAAATGTCATAATAATTGTGCTGACGAACAGCAGAACTTTGTAGGGAAAGATCCTGAAATAGGAGTGTACAGGTTTTGGAATTCCAAAATAGGACTGATATGTTTTTCTTTCTGAAATACGATTAACATGACAGTATTTATGGTCATCTTAGAATCATTACTGCCACAATGGTTGCAGTGCTGGGCATTAACATGACAGTATTTACTGCCATTAATGGCGGTATTTTTCAATCATGGCAGTAACGACTCCTATTTTGGAAAGAAAAACATGGCATTCCTTTTTGGAAATCCAAAACCTGTATTCAGTGCAATTTCCCAACTTTGTATTAACTTGAAGAAAGTTGATCATTATAGATTTCATATAGACAAACCAGTGAAAGATAGCTAAGAGCTGACATTATTAAAAATTAAACGGCAATCATAATTACCAAATACAATGAAGATAAGACAATCCCTTCCACTTGACAAGATACTGTTTCACAAATATTTGCTTTGATCCCACTATTGAAGCATCACTATCATCAGCAGCAGTTGGGCGCGATTCAAAATCCAATATTTTCTCAATATCATTTAGAGGGCTTACCTATGAAAAGAAAAGAAAACATAGTGAACAGGGAAAAACAATACAATCATTGTCATAGATTACCTTAATTTAGAAAACTATTAGATGGGAAACAGAAGCATACACACTCAGGACATCTCCAGATGCTGGGAAGAGGAGCTTTTAAGGGTACAAGCAGACACTTCGGATGGTATGCATAAGTACATGTTTCACAGTTCAAAAGATTTTCATCTCCACCACAAGCTTGACAAGAATCAACTTTCTATCAATAGAAAGAAAGAAAAAATTAAACACATATAAATCCAAAAGGAACCTACAATGATAGTTTCCAAAAAAGAATCTAATAACATAAGTTAGTTTGTGTTTGTTGCACAGAAATAAACGGGACAAACATTTCAATGGTGAAATTTGACTTGCATCACCTAACAATAAGTGTGGGTAAAAGTGCATATGCAAGCATACCACAGAAGATCATGAAGGCAGCAGAGTGATTGGTGTGAGGAAAATATGAATCTGAAAAGATAACTTCTAAGATCCCAGAGAAAATCTATAACAATTTTGTTTCTAAAAAATGATTAGTGAACTGCCTAGCGTAGGATTTATTATTTCACACAATGGGATAGGAAAGACAAAGACAGTCAACCAACTTCGAAATGTTTCAAGTGCTAAAGCCTAGTAGGCTGACATCCCTTTTAAAAATATCCCAACTAGAAGAAATTATGAATGTTCTTCTTCAAGATCTTGCTCTAACAACTAAAGCCCCTTTGGAAATGAAATAACTAATTAAGAAGCGTTACTATGAAGTATACCTGTAAAGAAATTAGAAGACACACATATATAGAACAAAGTTAAAAAAATAAAGAGAAAAGGGTCAAATAAGGCCTTCTACTATTATGAAATCGTCACATAAGGCCATGTACTCAATAAAGTGTCATATAAATACATCTACTTATAAAAAGCAATCGGATGAGTCCAAATGACCCGTTGACAACCTCTTAATCACGACTTTAGCTCACATGTCATTATTTTTATCTTGTATTTAAGTCAACCATAACTAAATATTTCACATCAATCATATAATATATTTTAAAAAGATAGTCAGATGTACGCTAAAATCAGGATTACGAGGTTGTCAAAAGGTCATTTTGACTCATTCAATTGTTTTTTATAAGTAGACGTATTTATATGACACTTTATTGAGTACATGGTCTTATGTGACGATTTCATAATAGTAGAAGACCTTATTTGACCCTTTTCTCAAAAATAAAATATCAGCTAGTTTCCATTTTTGCCAGGCTCATCACATAGTAAACATATTTACTTAGAGATCCCTAAACTGAAAGAGAGGTGGACCTGGTGAATTGTCACCCAGCATTAATTACACAATCCTTATAAATTGGCAGCATCCAGATATTCAAAGGGAAGTAAAGGGCAAAACAACCACAAATCAAAGCGCCACGAAGTTAAATAAATCCAAGTGTACACCGATTAAGCGATTAGCACTAATCAATGGGATCAGCAAAAAATACTTTAATAGTAGGAGGTATTTGTTAAGCCAGAGAGCCAGATGCTTTCTATGACCAGAGACAAGAAGCAAGAAGGTCATTCGAAAGTATATCACAATCACAGCAAAACCTTATTTTGATGTCGTTTAGAAATGATAATACCCAAAATGATGAAGCTAGACACTGTTAGCTTATGCAAAAATGATATACAGCTTTTACAGAAATCTCTCATGACAATCAATCACCAAGAATATAGAAGGCAAACTCAAAAGGTTACGATGTGTGAAATTAATACAGTACATTGAATCCATACTAGCATCCCATAGATTGTGAAAATACCAGAAACTTTCCTATACATAAATACTTCAGAAGTTGGGATATTCATGGAGAGAGACCAATTAAAAACTCGGCTGCATTAGAGCTATTTGATCATTTTCGTTTTCAATATTTTGTTATCCTCAATTTAAAAGGAAATTCAGTCATTATTGCTACGTTCAAAAAACTTTCTCCGAATTTGTAATGTGTGCAAAAATGCAAAACAAAAGGTGTTTTGGGCACTTTGATAACAATATGAAGGTTACGTCCGCATCATGTGGTCTCGCACATCATTCGCCTAAAAGCAACCCCCCTATCAATCCACCACCCTCACATCCACCAATCTTGACTTATCCCATATAAACCCCATTTGACTCAAACTCTCTTACCCTACCCAACCGTGCTTCTGTGAACCTCATTACTCGATAATTGCACAGAGAATCCACAAGACTAGCCCGGTCTTGATGCTGATTACCCCCATGATCCGATCTACCCATTATAGATCTCTCATAGATGCACCATCACTGGCTGGCCAACTAATCAACTCCAATTTCAATAGTCCAACTGGAAATTTCACCCACTTCCCTTTATTCCTGTTACATGCTAAATTATGAAATCAAGCATGCGTAAACAAACATTTTAGCATTAAAAACATTAAAGGCCAAAACATCAAAACGAAGAAATTCTAGAAAGTGCCTATACACCACAAGTGGGATTGGATGAATCTATCACTCAATAATTCTGGAAAGTTTTTGAGGAAGTGGTGCAACGAGAGTAAGGGGAGAGAAGTTGGTCATAGGAGGCGACCTCAATGGGCATGCTGACTCAAGTGGTGATAGTTTTGAGAGCATTCATGCCGGATATGGTTTTGGCACTAGAAGTGAAGCAGGAAAGAACATTTTGGATTTTGTCTCCACACATGAGTTGGCTATAATGAACACTTGGTTCAAGAAAAGAGACTCTCACATACCTATAAAAGTGAAGCTAATGGTACCCAAATTGACTACTTCTTAGCGTGGACTACTTAGAGATCTAACTACACCGATTGTAATGTTATCCCAAATGAAAGTATTGTCACTCAGCATAGGATGTGTGTGCTTGATTTTTCAAGGTAAGAAGCATAGAAGACGGGTTGAACAACAAGTGGAGTCAAAGATAAAATGGTGGAGGCTCGAGGGGATCTCCAATAAAGCTGTGCCCACAAATGCTTGGTGAAGATGTACGGTGTACTGATAATGACACAAATGTAACAGACAATTAATAAGGTGGAAAAGGAGATATTTGGGACACCAAAAAAGAACACATCTTGGTGGAATGATGAGGTGAAGAAAACCATAACAAACAAAAGGGAATGCTACAAGAATTTGGGAAAAAGTTGGAGTGATGAGAACATAGATGTGTAGAAGGAGGCTAATATCTCCAATATTAATCCCTATTACGCATAATTCAACAATTCAACAATAATCAGAAATTCATTGGTAGTGTTCTATAATTGATCTCATGTGACCATCAACCTGCTTAACCAGTAAAAACAAAAAAAATGAACAACCAGGCAAAGGCTTTCTCTCCCAACTGCAGGTCTAAGCACTTCACATTGAACCAAGCTAATGAGATGATGGCTAGGAGGAATAGGAATTTAGAAAACAATTTATGATTTATCAAGATTTGGTTAATGTCCAACTCCTGCACACATCTAGCTTCCTTCTCCAATCTTCTACTTTATCGAAAAGATAAAAAAGGTTAAAAGGATAAAAGGATATAGAACATAAAAAAGATAAAGGAGATAAAATGATAAAAGGATAAAAAAAATATGAAAAGAGATCAATCCTCCGCACAAATATTCTCTCCACTTTGCTCTCTCCAAAGTCATGCTCTCATCCAACCCAAGAAAAAGTATATCGCTCATGACTCCTCTAATAACACTTCACATTCATAGTCCATTAGCATAAATCACTGCTATGCTATTTACTTATGGATTGGGGAATCTGATGTCCAGGATGATGTAGGAATATACCTAAAGCATGGTTGAATTTATGTAATGTCATATTCAATGGTCAACTAAATCTAATTCCAACAAGATTACAAGTAGTAACCAGATTTGGGTAAAGTGCATATGAAAGTATGGTTGGATACGGTTTTTTAAGTTGAAGACTTGGATAATGTTAAATTTTCAAGCACACATTCTCTCTTCATCTCTATCAGGCTATACTGCTTCATACTTGAAACAAAATTTGAGGGTTTGGCAAGAAGAAAGATGGAAATTTTGTTTTGGGATGTATTTGAGTAGCAATATCCATCATAGTCTATTATGAATATATGATCCAATAATGATATAGTAATCACATATTATGATTTAGAATAACAGGCTGACTACTCTCCCATAGTCCCATTTCGATGGGCAGTCTACTGAATTCTCTTAAAAGTGATTCTCTATGAGGCATGGATCACATCAAACTTTCTCAGTTAATTTACATCGATTTCAATCCTACGAACATCATAAGACCAAAAAAATCCCCTATGGCTATTTCATCCATTGATACAGTGAAGTAGTGAACCCCATCTTTCAGCTTAAACAGCTATGTTTCTCGTGCAATTACAGAAGTCCAGTTTATCAGCTTAAACAACTTATAATCTTACACTCAAACAATTTTCTTCCATCCTAGGCATCACTAGAGTTAAGATCTAAGATATCCGGTTTAATTTTAAATGTCATGTGTCATAAGTAGTACAGACTACAAAGAAAGCATCTTTAAGCAAAAAGCAACCCCATTTTTCACGCGCAATACCAATTTAAGTGAGCAAACTAATCCCAAATTACCACATGTCAATTCTGCGTTGATTAGTGAGCAGTGTCGCACAGATAGAGAAGATTTTTAAGAAGAGAATGCATGTAGGTACAAATAAATGAGCAATGTGAATATCAGAAAATTCTCTTTTCCAAAGCTTAGCAATTTACCGCATCTGTTCTAACAAATCTCTCAAATTTCTCCTGTGAATGGCCAGATTTACCACGCTTTATATCAGCTTCCTCATCTGAGTCCTCTAAATTGTAAATTGGCTTTCGCTCCGAGCGAACACGAAGCCTTTCCACCAAACTAGCCATTTGCCTACACCGGATGATCAAATAGCAGAAGTAAAGAGTATAAAAATTCTACTACGTATAAAATAAACTATAAATGAAAACTCATGTAAAAAATGCTAACTAAAGCGCTACTGTGTTGTCACTGGATTGGACAAAAATTTTGTATCAAACTGAAATGTGAGCCTAGGGCTTTTGAACAGTTGATCTCCGAAATCATTAACCGGGACACGTAAGATATCAAAAAGTTCCGACCGACCTGAAGTCACCCTATATATGCGGCTGGAAAAGACAGAGCTGGTGGCTCTGCCGCTCTCCGTTGATGGTTTAAAATTTTGGCAATTCGTATATCATCAGCAAAGCGTAGACCGCTTTCACACACCGGCGAGGTGCAGCTGAACCCGCCGCTATATTTCCCAAAGACACCCAATACCTCTCAAGTCGCAAGTATTAGATAAAATTCCGAAAACTTAAAATAATATAAAAATGCAAATATTTAAAAGTTCTGTGCATGAAATAATGAAGATAAAAATTGATCGAAATGCTACCATAAATTGATAATAAGAACTTTATTAATTCAATTCAATACCTGAAAGTTGGAAGAATAATTGGGGAGATTTTCCAAAATTCAGACTACAAATTAGCCTAAGACTTAAGTACACATGCTTTGATCAAATTGACCTTCCTTTTAAATCCCCTGTTGCGCACACCAAATTGATCGCACATCGATATGTACTTCATCGACACCAGATCGATCGCACACATGCTCTGTAAACCTTCATCGACACCCTATATTTCCCAAACACACCCAATACCTCTCAAGTCGCAAGTATTAGAGAAAATTCCGAAAACTTAAAATAATGTAAAAATGCAAATATTTAAAAGTTTGTGCATGAAAATAAAAATTGGAAATGCTACCATTAATTGATAATAAGAACTTTATTAATTCAATACCTGTAGAATCAAGCTAAAACCTAAATTGTCATGACTCATGAACTCTACTACGGAGTATTTTCTATTGAATTTTTTTTAAATATTAATAGAGTTTTTTGCGAAGAAAGAATCATCATAAATTTGCAAAAAAAAATAATAAATTAATCATGACAAAGTATATGATATTTTAGGTCTTTGATAAATAGTTTTTAATCATTCACATCTTATACTAACACATTTCAGGGCTGTTTGGAGCATTAAAAATAGGCTAAAATGCAGAAATTTAGCAAAATACATGGCAAATATGCTGTTGGACTGTTTTTTCTTATCCAAAAAAGTAACAATATGCTTACTTTTTGAGCTGAAAGTTGTTAATGTATTGTTGCAAACCTAAAATATTTCTTTACCCTTTTTATTTGACATGTAATACTTGCTGAAGTGAATTTGCTAATTAATAGCAAATTAACAATATGGTGCAACCCTTTTGCTAATTAGACTCATTGGACGAGTCTAGTCACCAAGAAGCATCATGCGGCGGGGTTGTACTTTTCTGTACTATTCCAATGGGGCTTCCTTTTCATTTATGTTGTTCTATTTGGAGTTTTTTCTTGGAGGCTGATGCTAAAACCCATTGATGTGCATGTTTATTTGTTAATATACTTTAGTAAAAGTATATTTATTGAATTAATTTACTCATATTAGTCACAAAATATAATACTAATGTCGCTCATTTGAAAATACGCATTTTTTGGAAAGTAGTTGTATAAAACTAATCAAGCAAAAGCAGTTTATTAGTGAAATTCACACCCGTGTATTTAACACAAATAAGCTAAGAGTTGGGATCATATAAGAATAGGATCTAATGAGAGAAATAAGAATGATCTTGAGTCGTTGGATTGAAGCATTATCGTCATTAATTAGTTAATTCGTATGAGGGTAGAAAAGTAATTCTTGGTTCTTTCCTTTTAGTTAATTCGTATGAGGGTAGAAAAGTAATTCTTACGTTTTAGCATTTGATGATAGTATCCCTCTTATTTCAATTATTTCTTCCCATATCCATTTACTTTTCTTTCCTCTTCTCCATCTCATCGTCGTTTCTCCATCACCTCCAACAACCTTTGTTCTGATTTTCCCTTAATATATTCTTCAACTTCCTAAAAAATCTCTTCCTCTCATTTTTCTATTTGTTATCTTGATGAAGAGTATGTATATTCCTTCTCTGAAGCATATCATCTCTGATTCTCCACATGGATCGTAATGAGATACTCCCTCTGTCCCCCAATTAAGTTCACCATTGCTTTTCACACTGATTAAGGGAAAAAATTGCTCGGGGGTAAACTTTACTATTTTTGACACTGTTTGGTACTGTTTTGCACTGTTTAGATGTTGTTAGTTTGCCAAATAAGGAAAGAGGAACTTAATTCAGGGACTACCCAAAAAGGAAATGGGAAACTTAATTGGGAGACGGAGGGAGTAATATAGTATTTTGTGGTTTAGATCGTGAGTTTTAGTTGAAAAGATATATTTCTTTCCCCATAGAATCAAGTGGTTGTTTAGTTCAATTTTGAATTTATTCAGTGTCTTGTTTACTTTGTATTTCTAATTTATTTGCTTCTGCCATATATTAGTGCTTGAGTGCTTGACAATTGTGAACGTTCTTGTTCTAAAGTTTATGTTAATTTGGATCTACATTTAATAATTTGACAGATATTTTACATGTTTGTTGTTGAGTTAGATGCTATGGTACATGTTTCATTTTGCACTTTTACATATTATTGTTGCATAGCTTTTAGATGTATAAGTTTCACTCAACATAATTTTTAGATTTGTAGATTTGCACTAACTGTTAGTGAACTACATTGTTATGTGATGACTTTTGCGTGTTTAACGTGGACTTCAAATAATATAATAATGATCAATTTTATATTAAAATTTTGATGCACTTACCATCTTCCGTTCATGCATTCTTCATTTGTTTTGTTTTACTTTTTTTGCTGATGCAAGTGATGATGGAATGCATTTCATAATGGAAATTGTGATGGTTTTGGAATAGAAAAATGCATTTCATTTTTGTAAAAAGTATTGATGTAAATTTTTAGAGAAGTGTGATATAATCATGCACTTTAACATTTTTTTTAAATCCACATGATAAAAGTGCATTACATTTTGTAAAATAGAGCCAATGTTGAATCTTAAAAAGTGTGATATAACTGTGCACGTGTATATGTATTTTAAATGCACTTTGATAGTTTGTACACTTGTATATTTATACATATCAATTTTATTTAAGATTTGTATGAATGTGCACAACTTAATGTGTAAAGTGTAGGTCAGTTTTATATAAAGTGCAAATTAATTATATCAAAGTGTCGTTGATTACGGTGCAAATTGACGTATTAGACATGTCATTTCCCTTTAGATTGCAAAAATATTTAAATATTTAATTAAATGATGTTGCATAATTATCAAATAAAAGTGCACCTAATCGTCATTGAAGTGCAAATACACAAAACAAGTACTATGAATTAAACACGAAAAATGCACAATCTCAATTTTATATTAAACTTTTGATGCACTTATCATCGTCCATTCATGCACTTTTCATTAGTTTTTTGTTTTACCTTTTCTTGCAAATACAAGTGATGTTGTAATACATTGTCATAATGGAAATTGTGATGCTTTCAGAAGAGAAAATGCATTTCATTTTGTAAAAAGTGTACTAGTGTTAAATTTAACAGAAGTGTTATATAATCATGCACTTTTACATTTATTTAAAATGCACATGATAAAAGTGCATTATATTTTGTGAAGAAGTGTCAATAATGTAGATTTTTAGAAAGTGTGATATAATAGTGCACCTTTATATGTATTTTAAATGCATGTTCTAGTTGATAGTTTACACACTTGTATATTTATTCACTAGTATGTGTATCCGTGTGTCGCACGGTAATTTTATTTGCTTGTATGTATGGTAAAAAATCGGGGGGAGGGGGGGAGTGAACGTGAAATTATCACCTTTCCCGGTCCATTTCGTATGCATGTCGGTGTTAATTTTTATAAATCAATCAGAATGAACTTCTACTTTTCCGACTTTATTATTGTACCCATCACTCTATTATATTTAAAAATGTGAATTTGAGATACACTTCTTATTTTGTGAGGGTTAGGGCATCCCCATCCATAGATTATTTTTGGGATTATTTTTATGACGTGGAGGATCTTTTTTGGGATCATGGATGAGAAGTTGAGATTATTTTATGAGATTATTTGATAAAATAATCCGGTATCAAATTCTAAAGCTGGATTATTTTGAGATTATTTCCAACTTTTAGACTCATCTCCCACTTTTCTAGACACACTCATAATTGTAAAACCATCTACCCACCAACTAACTAGTACTTGTACGTATACTTTTTGAGGCACTTTGTTTTCTAGAAATTAAATGTATGTCCCAAAAAAACTTGATAAATTAAGATCATGGTTGAGAAGAAATTAATTTGTTTGGAGATTATTTGAGATTTTCTTATGTGGAAGTTGTGAGAATAATGAGAAGGCTTACCAATGTGGTAGCCCTAGGTGTCATATATATAATAAAAATATGTCCTGAATACATTAGGAAACTACATAAAGATGGAAACCTAATTAATGGGTATTAATTACTCTATTACACCCCCTCAAGCTGTGCAGGGGAAACAATGCGCAGATTGTCCCTAAGAAAAATAAAACGCTGTGGTGACAGACATTTAGTAAAAATATCTGCTAACTGGAACTGAGTAGGGACATAACGAACAATCAGGTCTCCATGTGAAACTCTCTCTCGAACAAAGTGATAGTCAATACTGATGTGTTTGCTCCTAGCATGCTGAATGGGATTAGTGGACAAGTATGAAGCTGAGACATTGTCACATAATAACTGGACTAGTTCTCGGATGGAGATGCCTAATTCGAACAGGATGGATCGAATATGCAGTGTGTCCTGAACTGTGTATGCAATAGCTCTATATTCTGCCTCTGTAGATGATCTGGAGACAGTGGGCTGCTTCTTGGACTTCCACGAGATTAAAGTTGGACCAAAGAAAACAGCAAATCCCGAAGTGGGCCGACTGCTGTCAGGACACCCAGCCCAGTCAGCATCAGAATAAGCCTGCAAAGTCGGAGAAAAAGTGCTGGACTGAAGAAGCAGGCTGTGAGCAGCTGACCCCTGAAGATACCTGAAAATACGCTTAACAGCTAATAAATGAGTAGTACGGGGTGCATGCATAAACTGAGAGACCAGGTGAACAGCAAATGTAATATCAGGTCGAGTCATAGTCAAATACTGCAAAGCACCTACCATACTTCTGTACTCAGTAGGATCTGCAAGGAGGTCTCCATCAGTGAGAGATAACTTAGTCCGCGTAGGAAATGGAGTACGAACAGGTTTAAGAGTGTGAAGATGGAACCTGGTTAATAGATCAGACACATATTTTTGCTAAGATAAAAACAAACCGGAATTCGTCCGAATAGCCTGGACACCTAGGAAAAAATGTAGATCCCCCAAATCCTTCATGGCAAAACAGCGACCAAGACAAGAAACAAAACTGGAAATAAAGGAAGGGGAATTACCAGTGATAATAATTTCGTCCACATACAAGAGAAGATAGAGAATATGACACCCATGGCGGTAAATAAAGAGAGAATTATCAGACTTACTACAGACAAAACCATGGGTTAATAAAAAACTACTGAACCGATAAAACCAAGCTCGTGGAGCTTGTTTAAGACCATAGATAGCTTTCTGAAGCCTGCAAACATGATTAGGAAACTGAGGATGAACAAACCCAGGAGGCTGACGCATATACACTTCTTCAGTCAGATTACCATGAAGAAAAGCATTTTTGACATCTAACTGACGAATAGACCATTTATACGAGACAACAAGAGATAAAACAATACGGACAGTAGTAGGTTTAACAACAGGACTAAAAGTTTCAGAAAAATCCACACCAGCTTGCTGAGTAAATCCCTGTGCAACCAGACGTGCCTTATAGCGCTCAACAGACCCATCAGCATTAAATTTTGTTTTATAAATCCATTTAGACCCGACCACATTTTTACTAGCATTAAATGGAACTAAATCCCAAGTATGATTATCAATAAGTGCATTAAACTCCTCAGCCATTGCG